ATATATATATATACATACTGTATACACACATATATATACTGTATACACATATTTTTTTTCCTTTTTTTTTCTTAAGAAGTGAGAAAAAAAGGGAAAAAATGTAATAAAATCAACAGATTATTCATTCTTTTCTTTTCTTTTCTTTTCGAAAGAAATAATAGGAAGTACAATGAGGAGTATCTCACAATATGACAGGTTCTTCAAAACAGACATCAGTGAGGGTCCGGTCCACTATTACAAGCTCAGTATCATAAATCTCAGTCCCGACCTGCAGCAAACAGAACACAGCACAGCGGTGCAGCTCTGAACAGAGGAGGAGGGAGAAAAATCAGTGAATAAAACAACAACAAAATGACTTGATGTGGCCATATGTTCAAACAACTCACCTCCTTTATTTTTGAAATATTCAGAGTCTTTCCACATGAGAGGAATCCGAATATCTAAGGGTAATCAAAGTCTATTAAAATTAAAAGTCTATTAAAGTGTATTAAAATGCAGAAGCCAATCAAATCAATAAGACAAAATCGGATGTCTTTCCTCACCTGAAATGGCCAGTTTTGCTGTACAAGGTAATCGATCATCAACACAGCCTCCATCAGATGACCTGAAAGCATTCAATCAATACAACAAGGCATCAGGTTTGGACATATTGAGGAAATATTCCACAACAAAACTTCTAATACTGTATACACATCATAACTATGTTATACCTTCCTTTATTATTAATATCTATAAGCTCAGAGAAGTATTTAATGCTGCTGTGGCGAGTGTGTCAGGGCTGTATGCAGTACCTGCGTCCGGCTCTCAGCATGGCCTGCTCCTCCTTCATGCGCTGCAGTCTCGTCATGAGGGCCAGGATGCGGCTGTTGGACGTCAGGAGAGTCTTGGAAGCTTCCAGAGCCTGATCTCTCTGAGAACAAGCAGCCAACAGCTTACAGGCCCCTTCCCTGATCCGCACTTCCCTTTCGATCCGCTGTTGAACCTCACTGTCCTGCAGAGAGACGGAGAAACCTCAGTCCATAAATTCAGGAATGATTCACAGAATGTCATTTAAAGTATATATGAAATCAAACATTTGGAGTGTTTATTTCATTAGCACACATTCTTCTTCTTTATTATTATTCTTTTAACATTCTGTGCAAGTAAAAAAAAAAGTTTTTTACGTTAATCTTCAATCAAAATCAGATAATTTCCTTCCAAATTTAGGGCGTTTGATTCTTCGGTTGACGTCAGTTTGACGCTTCAGTCACAATATTCTTAACCACGCCCCTCTTACCGTTAGTTTGCTATGAAGGAATGATGCATAAAACTAAAGCCCCGCCCCTACTCAATATTCTGCCTCAGCTGGAAGTACATCAACATACTGGAATAAAAGTCTCAGCAACTTCCGGATCATGCAGACTTTAATTGTGCAAAAAATGTTGGAAAATACAGCCATTGACTTAGATTGGATTACATTGTTGTAAGGATGTCAATATGGAGAGAGAAACCTGCAAAAACAAAAAATTAATTAATAAACAAACAAACAAACAAACAATCGAATGAATGAATGAATGAATAAATAAATAATAGTGTGGGCAGATAAAGTACATGATTGTTGAGGGGGGGGCTAAACAGAAAAAACCCCCCCCCCCCCCCCCCCCCAACATTTATTAGTTTTTGAACATAGTTCCATATTTACTTTTAATCAGCTCAACATGCTAATAAGAGGGTGTCTATCAATCATCAGAGAACCATCTCTGCCATCATTGCTTGGTTAATTATTTTGATTGGCTTCTGTTGATTGAATGAGATTCTTTCTGAAGATGAGGAAAATACAGAACTACGTTCAAAACTGAAGAAATATTCATCACTTCTACTTTCAACTTTCAGTTCAGGTGTTACTTATTCCCCCCAACATCTGTGTAATTTATGTAATTATTTATCTGCCCAAACTAAAAATTGAATAGATCAAATGCAAAAACCTCTAAGTGCAATCTGAAATTTCCACTGAAAATGAATATTTTTCCCAGCCTCCTTTGTTTACATTGAGACATTTCACTTTAAAGACCAGGAAAAGACTTATTCTTTGCCATAAAAAATATAATACTGAAAATACACATAGGAGCCTGATTAAAAAATACTCATTTTAGAAGAAAACTTCAGAAGGCATTTAGAGATTTTTAATATATTCATTCATGCAAGAATTTGTGGATTTTTAAACATATTTATTTGCGTATGTATTTATTCATTGTTTTATTTATGCAGAAATTTGTGGATTTATTTACTAATTTAGATGTTGTATTCAACAGAAATGAAAAAAATTCATAAAAGTTTTAAACCAGTTCAGTGTGAGCAAAAGGTGAGGATTATTTATTTTTAGGTGAACAAGATGTGACAGGCAAAGTGTGCAATATTTAATGACAATTTTCTCGAGTGGTTCTAAACTTGTAAAAATGTCTTGCTTCTGTTGAACACAAAATAAGATTGTTTGAAGATTGTTAGCCATTGACATCTATATAGGAACAAAAAATACTATGCAAGTCAATGGCTTTTTTCCCAACATCCTTCAGTATCTTCCTAATTGTGTTTAACAGAAAAAACTCAAACAACAAGTAAAAGATGGATACATTATGGGGACCTGTTATTTTGGTGAACTATTCCTTTAAATGTTAAATATACAATAAATTAGAATGCAAAAAATAAATAAAGATTACGCCACTTGATGTCTAAGACTGACTTCATGAACCAGGAAATCTTTCACTGAGTTTCAGCTTGTTCCTGACTCTCATCACGTGACACTGCCATCAAAATCAAATAAGCCACGAATGCCAGACACATGTCCATTATGTTTGTCTCATGTATTTAAGTTCACTTGAGGTCAATCTTATCTTTATGCATATTTAGCTTAAGCAGAAACTTCATTCAGAGTTGTTGTTTAGTCTTAGGTATGTTAAGCCGTTTGTGTGGATTATCATGAGACCTCTTTTTACATTGGGTTCATTTTGTTACATAACCAGCTGACTTGAATTACCACACTTGTGGATTTGTGCAAAAACAAATGAAGGGTGCGTCTCAATCAGCTGCTTTATTCAGTAGTTAGGGCACTGAACAGGGAGTCTTAATCAGTGCACTGAAATATTTGCTTCCTGAAAAGTCACACAATGCACCATGAGAATCAGGGATAATCAATGCTCACTTTGCTCCCTTGAAAGAACAGTTCAGCCCAAAATGAAAATTTCCTCATCATTTATTGACACTCAAGTGGTTCTAAAACTTTCATGAATTTCTTTCTTCTATTGAACACAAAACAAGATATTCTGAAAAAAAAAAGACATGAACAAAAACATCCTATGGAAGGTCAAAGTTTACTAGGTCAAACATTCCCCAGTGTAACTATCCCTTTACAAAAAAAGTTCTAAAGTGCAGAACATGAATTATGTGAACCTGACGTTTATTTCTAAAAGAAATGTTATTTATGTACACTCACCGGCCACTTTATTAGGTACACCTGTCCAACTGCTCGTTAATGCAAACTTCTAATCAGCCAATCACATGGCAGCAACTCAATGCAATTAGTCATGTAGACATGGTCAAGATGATCTGCTGCAGTTCAAGCAGAGTATCAGAATGGGGATGAAAGGTGATTTAAGTGACTTTGAACGTGGCATGGTTGTTGGTGCCAGACATTCTAGTCTGATTATTTCAGAAAATGCTGATCTACTGGGATTTTCATGCACAACAATCTCTAGGATTTACAGAGAATGGCCTCAAAAAGATCAAATATCTAGTGAGCGGCAGGTCTATGAGCGCAAACACCTTGTTGATGCCATAGGTCTGAGGAGAATGGTTCCAGCTGATAGAAAGGCAACAGTAACTTAAATAACCACTTGCTACAATAGAGCTATGCAGAAGAGCATCTTTGAATGCATAACACGTCCAACCTTGAGGCTGATGGGTTACAAAGCATAAGACCACACCAGGTGCCACTCCTGTCAGTTAAGATCAGGAAACTGAGGCTACAATTGCACAGCCTTACCAAAATTGAACAATAGAAGATTGGAAAAACGTTGCCTGGTCTGACGAGTCTTGATTTCTGCTGCGACATTCAGATTGAAGGGTCAAAATTTGGCATCAACAACATGAAAGCATGGATCCATCCTGCCTTGTATCAATTGCTCAGGCTGCTGGTGGTGGTGTAATAGTGTGGGGGATGTTTTTCTTGACACACTTTGGGCCCATTATTACTAATTGAGCATTGTGTCAACGCCAGAGCCTGATATCATGTCAATTTGGACCAAAATCTCTGAGGAATAATTCCAGTACCTTGTTGAATCTATGCCACGAAGGATTAAGGCAGTTCAGAAGGAAAAAGGCCAGTCCAGCCCGGTACCAGTAAGGTATACCTAATAAAGTGGCCGGTGAGTGTAGACTTCATTACATATATGGCACTTCTGAAAGGCTGTCGAGACATCCTACAGGAAATAAAACACATGACATATGAAAGTGTCCTTAATGTTTCCCTGTTTTCTATAAAACTGAACTGAAGATATACAGTGTGTGTGTGATGCCATTAGCACTTAAAATTGCTTATTTCTCTGGATTTGATCAATCTTTGAGGGATAAATAAGTACATAAGTCAGCAAAATATACACTGTTCTAGCGTTTTTAATTATATTTGAATGCAAAAACATACATATTGTTCCTTTAATAGCTGTAATTCTATCTTTTGAGATTCATACCGATGTTTAACAAACAGGCATTCAGATGAGCCACAGCCTCCTGTCTGGTCACACACACAAACACACACTCGGCACATACTGTATGCAAAACATTCAGCCAGCAAGAAACACAAAGAGTTGAACAAAACCTTCTGTTTGTTTTTCTATTTGTGAACACATTCTGTTCATGGCCGGTGTACAGTGAGCCGGTAGAAAACCTCTTTAATCTGTCCACATCCTCTCAATGGCGTGACATAAAGAGCCCCAGTTATGTAAGAGCTAATAGAAGTTTTGAGCTTTAAGATCAACACAAATAACCGCACGCTGAGGTTAATAAATAAGAAATAGTATGGCTTTGTATTGAGATACAATTGAGTTACAGTGTACATGAAATATAATGCATTTAATTCTCAATTTGCGCTGACTTTGAGATGTAACTGATTAGACAAAAGATTAAATATTGTGGACAGTTTATGGGCTGTAAACTTACAGCGTTTGTGTTTCTGGTACAATCCAAGTGTAAGAAAGATTAAATTAGCATATGTCAACAAGATGATTTAAAAGCTGTTTAAAAGTTTAAATTGCCATGTTAAATTAATGCTAACAACTGGCTAATTCAGGTTTAAATTATTCTAGTAACATGTTCATTCATTAAAATGTTGCCAGCTATTTTATGCTAAAAACATGGCTAAATAACAAGTCACCATAAAGTTTGCCTTCAAATTTTAATACTTAGTTTTAAATAAACAAATCCTATCAAGGTTTAACTCTCCTGACTGATGATGTTGTGCTTTTAGTGACCATTTTGTGCAGTGCATGTTAATTCATATACTAAATACATGTTAATTCATACTACTCTCATGCTAACAACATGCTACTTCATACTAGAAACATGTTAACAATTCATGCTAAAATTATTCCAGCAACATGATAGTTCATTAAAACGATTCTAGCGACATGCTATTTCATGCTAAATACATGCTAAATACCATGGGTTTCTCTAGTCACTATAAAATTTACCTTCAAACTTTAACATCTAGTTTTAATAAAACCAATCCTGTCAAGCGTGAACACTCCTAAATGACTGATCTTATGTTTTTAGTGGCCATTTTGTGCATTAATTCATATACAACACATGTTAATTCATAATAGAATCATGCTAATTCATGCTAAAATTATTCTAGCAACATGACAGTTCATTAAAATGAAGTTAATAACATGCTTTTTGAAGCTAAACACATGGCTAAATAACATGGGTTTTTCACGTCACCATGAAGTTTGCCTTCAAACTTTAACATCTAGTTTTAATTGAGCCAATCTGGTCAAGTGTGAACACTGTCCTAAATGACTGATGTTATGCTTTTAGAGCCCATTTTGCTAAAAACATGCTTATTCATATTAAAACTATTTTGTCAACATGATAAAACGATGCTAGCTACATGCTACTTCAAGCTAAAAACGTGGCCAAATAACATGGGATTCTATAAAGTGTGCCTTCAAACTTTTAATAGAACCAATACTGTCAAGCACAAACACTCTCCTAAATGACTGAAATTATGCTTTTAGTGGCCATTTTGTGCTGTGCATGTTAATGCATACCAGAATCGTGCTAACAACATGCAAATTCATACTAAAAACTAGTTAACGGGATGCTAATTCATGTTAAAATTATTCTGGCAACATGATAATTCATGTTAAAACGAGGCTAGCAACATGCTATTATAACAAAATAACATAAATTTCTTAAGTCACTATACTTTTTGCCTTCAAGCTGTAATATCTAGTTTTAATTGAACCAATCCAGTCAAGCATAAACACTCTGCTAAATGACTAATGATGTTGTGCTTTTAGTAGTCATTTTGCACAGTGTATGTTAACTCATACTAGAACTGTGCTAAGAACATGCTAATTCATACAAGAAACATGCTAACATTCATGTTAAAATTCTAGCAACTTGATAATTCATGTTAAAATCATGCAAGCGACATGCTATTTCATACAAATATCATGGCTAAATAACAGTTTCTCAAGTCATTAAAAAGTTTGACTTTAAAATTGTCCAGAATATTCTCTTGTGTGTTAAACGGAGGACACTGTGGCGTGAGGATGAGTGAACAAAAGCACTCATTGAAGACTGATCTCGGCACACTTCCACTGAAGAGGAAAAATGTGTTCGATCTTAAACTATTTGCCTGTGTCAAATGATTCTGCCGCTTGCTAAATGCTCGTCCGCTCATTGAAAGCATTGTTCAGTGACTTGAAACTCCCTCAGGGTCCTGTCTGCGGCCGAGACCCATTTAAACAGCTTTTTGTCTGTTGTTAACATACATGAAAACAGCAAATGGGCTAATTTCATAACTCCAAACTCTCGGCCAGAGGAACAGTAATAATAAAACTGTCAGCGTGTCATTGTTTAGTTGTAAAGTGTATGGACATGATGTTAGAAGACTAGAGGAAAATTTTATTGCTCAGAGTGCTCAGTTATTATGGATCATTTGTGTTTCCGTCTACAGTTGCTTTAGATAAATAAAAACAGAAATAAATATTGCTATAAAATAGGGCTGGACAATATATTGTTTCACTGTTTATATCAATATCGCAAGGTAGGAATCTGCAATAGTCACATTGCAGAACCTCAAGCTATTTCAAGTGAATTTAAACCATTTGGACAAGTACTTATAACGTTTGTCACTTTAACGAAGAATAATTGTTTATCCATACAATAAATATTATAAAGTGTTATTTTACATTTGATTATTGAATTTTTGCCCCTTAATACAATTAGACTCCACCATAAAACACTGTTTTTTCTTCATCTGTGCTTTAATTCATTTTATGTAGAGTCATTCCCTTACAAAACCATCTCAATCAATGTAAAATTATGAATTCTTTTCAGGTCATCTTGTGAAATTATATTCATATCGCGATATATAAATGGCAGAATATGTTATATATTAAAATCTTACTTTTCTGAAAGTCTATTGACAGTTTGCTTGCTGTATGAAGTTAGAATGTGTGAAAAATCCTTTTTTTTAACATCATCAAAAGATTAATTTTTCTAAATGGGTATATGGTTTATTGCTGGGTCATACATTCAAACCTGAAGAATGCAAAATCTGAGCTCAAATCCACTGGTGAGGCTAAATGGGGATAAAATTTAAACATTTGCCATCCTATTTTACTCATACTATTTGGAAACGACTTATTCGTGTGCTTTTATTCCACCTAAAGTGTTTTTGAGAAATATCTGTGCCATGCATGATATATCGACAAACTGTAAGTGGGAACAAACTCCAGAAATTCTCAAGAGATATGAATAAGAGACATTTGAGCAACAAACTACAGCATATTTTTATTGTGTTATGAGTTTTTATTTTTGCCTATATATACACTAAACTATACTATAAAGCTGTGTTGTCTCGATACTGAAATTTTGAAGACGTTCATTTCCCGATATCATTTGCGCACTGTTATTAAACAGCATAAGCATATTATTAAACAGCGCTGATTTGTCATTGTGTTCATGTGCTCAACAGAAATGACTGTGATTGGCCATGAAGGTCATTAGTTCACCAAACTCTGCGCTGTACTGAGTATGAACACGGGTACAGGGACAATGGAGCATTTCAGAGTCACACTGACCGGCTGGTTTGTCTATAAGCTGACATACGAGTGATCCGCTGATGAATCGCTGCTTTTAAAAAGCTCCACAATCTCTGTATCTGTGGTTACACTCAGTAAACAGCAGTGAGTTCAGTAAACTAATGACCTTTACGGGCAATCACAGTCCTTTCTGGCATAGGAACATAATGGCAAATCAGCGCTGTTTGGCAACATGCTTAATATCGCTTAAATGTTTGCGGGAAATGGACATTTTTAAAATTCCAGTACCAATTGGTATCGAATTCCAGTATTGTGACAGCAGGGGTTATCAAACTCAGCCCTGGAGGTCCAGTGTCCTGCGGATTTTAGCTCCAACTTGGCTCAACACACTTGCAAGGATGGTTCTCGAAAGCATAGTAGCTGAGCTTGACTGGGGTTGCAGCTTAAATCAGCAGGACACAGGCAAGGACTGAGATTGAGAACCCCTGCTACTGTATATACAGGGTGATTCAAAAAGAAAACCACAACTTTGAAAATCTATTTAATCAAAGAAACATGATGGAGGGCGAGGCAGTGGCGCAGTAGGTAGTGCTGTTGCCTCACAGCAAGAAGGTCGCTGGTTCGAACCTCGGCTCAGTTGGCTTTTCTGTGTGGAGTTTGCATGTTCTCCCTGCCTTTGCGTGGGTTTGCTCCGCGTGCTCCGGTTTCCCCCACAGTCAAAAGACATGCTGCAGGTGAATTGGGTTGGCTAAATTGTCCGTAGTGTATGAGTGTGTGTGTGAATGTATGTGTGGATGTTTCCTAGAGATGGGTTGTGGCTGAAAGGGCATCCGCTGCGTAAAAACTTGCTGAATAATATTGGCGGTTTATTCCGGTATTATCTTACATCTTGTAAAAGGGGTTAAAAAGGTGGCCTTTAAGTCTATTTACTGACTATATTTTTTATTATATTACATTATCAATACTGTAATAGGAACGTTATGATATCAAAAATAGTCAGGTTAACCTTTCACCGGAAGTTAAAAAACACTTGCTGTGGATATAAGAAAAGCATTGCTTGCATAATTTAATGAGAAACATTTCAACAGATTTTTGAACTACTTCAGATGACAGATTGGTAAAACCTAGTGGAATCTAGTGGAATAAAGTGTGAAAAATGGGTAAAAATGTTGACATTCTTGGTCTAAACATGTCTGACAAGATCACTATTTAAACTATTGTTTAACAGAAAGTCAAATCCGAATTTAAATGTAGCCAAATCTGTGCTTAAAGTTCACCCATCAATGCAAATGGTCACCATTTACTCTCCCTACATTTTTTTCCAAAATTGTTTAACTCAAAAGAAGATATTCTGAAGAAAACGTAACTATTGACATCTATAGTAGGGAAAATACTTTAGTACCAAATGGTTACAGGTTTCCAGCATTCTTCAAAACATCTTCTTTTATAAAACTTATAAAGATTTAACCAATTTTAAATCTTAGAGTAAATACTGAATAAATGTTCATTTTTGGGTGAAGTATCCCTTTAAAACCCATCAATGAAACAAAACAGATCATATTCACGTTTTTCTCCTATTTATGTAAACAATGGTCTCATTGTGCTATTTTTATTCGCCTAGAACCGTATTCGAGAAAAATCTGATGCAATTACAATATATTTACAAACCATAACAAGGATGTAACTCCATGAAGTCTCTTGGGATATGAACGAGACACATTTGAGCATCAAAATACACGTTTTTAGTATTGCTGTAAAGAGATAGTGGTGTTTGTGCGCCTGCGCGTAAAGCCGCTCACCTGTGCTGAATCCTCCAACACGCTGAGTCGGAATCGGCCTCTCTTCACCTCCATCTCCATAGCGGATCCGCGGGCCACTGTAGCTCTGGAGCTTTGGTTTCTGCAGAACATTATTACTGGATGTGGAAAATCCAGCTCAAGCGACCAATCATCCGAAGTAAAGTGTTCACCAAGTTTATCTAATGCAATAAAACACAGGTAAATTCCGTCCTAAATGCCTTCAAATACATATCTTAAAGGCGTCATTTGTATAAAATCCTACTGGACATGTTGCAACAGCTGTGGATAAATGGGGAGTGTTTTCCCCAGTTTGTGGGATGGGTGGTGCTTGGAGTTCTGTAGACTCATTTAAACAGCGCCACCATTGTCGTGATTTAGACAATAATATAACTTTGAGATGTACGTACAGTCTTGTCCACCAGGGGGCGATTGCTAACTTGCGTTAAAATATTGGGACATTTGTTTTAGCATTTGTAAGTATCTACACGCTAAATTAAATCGTAGTTTGACCGGTTAACTGTGAATAATAACTCCTGACGTAGACAAATCGACTATAAAATCTATTCAAATATCCTCACCCATGGTAAATGCAAACGGTCGTAATTGGTTAATCCTGGTGTGTGTTATGAAAAGTAACAGGTAACACGTGATAAACGGCGGCGCACATGTTATTTTTAAGTATTAGAGTTACATTTAAACACTTTATATAACGATATAAATATGTATATGGTTTGACCTGCTCGATTAGCTTTACGGCAGAATGATAATAAGCTTAGTTTTCTTTATGGAATATGTTTTATCAGTATCAAACTAAAATGAACACGTCAATATGTGGGACGTTCTACCAGAAACGTACATTATCTGTTCCCGAATAAAAACAAATACTATGAATAAAAAGTATTTGATCCCAAACATTTCAAAAATAGTCTGATGGTTGATTTCTGTCAGTTGTTCAGTCCTATTCGGTTCCCAGATTTTTCTTTTCTTTATTAAAACACTTTACAAATGTACAAACCGTGTCATTGTTCTTAGCCCTATTGAACCTACAGCTTAAATAGTTTTGTTATGGTAAAAGCTTATTATTTAGCGAGAGAAAACTTATATATTATATTATAAATAGCAAATTTAAGTTGTTATCATTCACATCAATTGATTAAAAACATGAAATTAGACCATCTACAAATAAATACTACAAATACATCATACAAATAAATTTACAATTGTCCACGTTTCTGTCAGTCCTGTCACATTTGCATTAAATGTAACAATATGTGTGCATACACCTTTAGATAAGGCTATGACTCAGAGCAGAGAAACTGACATTTGATAGAGAAGAAGCTGACAGTGGTCAAGGATGCGTTCTATCATTAAATTGTACGATTTTATGCTTTGTTTTTTTTTGTTTTTTGTTTTTTGAGGACAAGCTTAAAGGTCAGGCCGTCACGTTTTTATAAATGAAATTGTACGTTTCTGTTAAAATATCCTGTTTCAGTTAATGAATGCATATTTAAAGAACATATTGGAGGTTAATAATAATAAAAAAGTAAAACCAAAAAAAGTGAAAATACCGCATAATACCATAAAACATGTTAAATGTGCTTTGACATGCAAGGGCACACAACCATCATGGCCTCCCAATCATCCCCATCTACCGAATTGGGTCTATCACTGTCTCTCTACACCCCCTATACCTGGTGTGTGGTGAGCACACTGGTGCCGTTGTCCTGTGGCAGCCGTCGTATCATCCAAGAGGACGCTGCACACTGGTGGTGGTGTGGAGAGACCCTCCCTCGTGATTGTGAAGCTCTTTGGGTGTATGGCCATCACAATAAATGCACTATATAAATACACATTAAATTACATTTGGCATGATTAGGCCACCAGTGCTACAATGAACAATAAAACTTTATTTTGCTACTCAGTTTAGTCCCTTTATTCATTAGGGGCGCCACAGCTGAATGAACCACCAACTTATCCAGCATATGTTTTACACAGCGGATGCCCTTCCATCCATGACCCAGTACTGGGAAACACCCATACACGCTCTCATTCACACACATACACTAAGGACAATTTAACATACCCAATTCACCTATGAAGAACAAGCTAACTCCATAACAGAAATGCCAGCTGACTCAGCAACTGTCTTGCTGTGAGTTGACATTGCTAACCAGTAAGCCACTGTCACCCTGCTACTCTGTTTTGAAACCCAATAATTAAATTAAAAAATTTTCAAACCAACATAACAGTAATTTTTATTAATATATTTACAAAACACATTGTAAAAACATTTGAATTCGAATATAAAAAACAATATGCACATCATAAAACTGAGCAAAAGATCTGGCTTTGTGACTAAATGCTGAAAATGCTACAACAACTGTGTAAAACTGCTAAAATTCCAACACACACAGGCAGCATGGAGCCCAAAACACACACGCACGCACGCACGCACGCACGCACGCACGCACGCACGCACGCACGCACACACACAGACACACACACACACACACACACACACACACACACACACACACACACACACACACACACACACACACACACACACACACACACACACACACACACACACACACACACACACACACACACACACACACAGTGCTTTCTTAAAATGGAGGTTTGATGTAAAACTGTACTTTGAATAAAATAAATTAAAAACAGCAAGCTATTTCCAAAAACAAACCATGCAAAAAATGTTTCCTTAATAATACAATTAAGTGAAAAGAGAAATTAAATAAAATAGGAATAAAATTCACAGCTTGAGGTTAAAATTAGACACTGTATTGCCATTTTACATAACGAGAAACGCACCACTGTATCTAAAACATATCTACATTAGTTTGATAGCAATTAACACTCAAATTCAAAACTATTTTCTTTACAAAAATAAAACAAGATGAAAGGTACAACCTTTTAAATTGAGTTGTGTTTTCGCTGTCATTTAGTTTTCCCAAAATGAAACTGTCCTTATTAACAAATGTACATATTTACATGTTTATTCAGCCAATTGATATTTGCGTGTTGTGCCTGCTTCATTATTCCAACCGTTTGCTTTAATCCATGTCCTCTAATTCATCAACTTCAGTAAAGATGTCGCTGAAAAAGTACTTGGAGACACTGGTGGGCTCTTCTTCTGAGCGCTGCTGATAAGAGGGAGGAATGAAATCCAATTTATAATTAGAAATACACAATATGCTTCTAAAAACATGCAGTGAAACAGGAGACTGTGTGATACCTCAGTGGTGGAAGCAGGAGTTGGTAAAGCTCGCTTTACTCCAAGGTTTGCTGATGCACTCGCTACCTGTTTTCTGTCAGGACGGGCAGTGTTGACTCCTGGTTTGGATCCTCGATGACGTGTTGGTGCTCCTTGTGTACTTTTTGTTGAAATGAAGGATAAGAAGCCTTTGGGTTTTCTACCAGGCCTGAAAAAGACGTGAAATTTACCAAATATATACACAGTCAAGTCCGAAATTATTCATACCCTTGGCAAATTCTGACTTAAAGTTCTTTTATTCAACCAGCAAAATAGTTTTCACTGGAAATGACACCAGGCTTCTCCCAAAAAATAATAAGACAATGTACAAAAGGTGTCATTGTGGAAAAAAAATATTTCTCAGCTTTTATTTACATTTGAACAAAAACTTCACAACTTTTCCAGGGGTATGAATAATTTTGGGCTCGACTGTATATTCTTTATTTCTTCCCAGATGCCTTTTTTGCCCCAGGGTTGTGCACAGCTGGAATTGTCAGTAGCCAACTATTATCAATATATTTATTATTATTATTATTATTACTAGCATTAGTATTGGGAATGGTGGGGGTGTTAAGGCGAAGAGAAGGAAAAAAAAGTGCTTGGATAAATGAATAACTTCAACATTTAATACATTTAAAACTATAGTAAAACTCCCAACCTAAACTATATATAACTAGGATTATAAGTTATTTTTGTTGTATGTGATTGACCTGTAGAATGTTTTTTTTCTTAAGTCTGTATAAAATCAAAATTTACAATGGTTATTTTTCTAACACACATTGTTATTCTTCAGATGAACATTTAATTTGCAAGAAAAAAAAGTTTGTTTTGGTAATCTTCAATCAAAAACTAATCATTTGCTTTTGAAGTTGCGCTCTTTCTCTGTTGCCGTCGGTTTGACGATTTCAGCCACAATATTCTTAACCACGTCCATCCTATCTTTAGTTTGATATGAGGGAATGATGTCCAAAAAGAAAGCCCCGCCCACTACTCAATATATCCTGTTTCAATTGGAAGTACAGCAACATAGTGATATAAAATGTCAGGATCTCAGTAACTTCCAGTGAGTGTTTTTCTATATTAGACGTTATACTGGTATGAATGTGAATACCAGTATTATGTTGTGACACAATATGGATTTTGAATAACTGTTGATATTATTATTGATAAATTCCAATTTGACATTTAAGTAATGGACTAAATGTTCAGCAAAAATAACAACATAAGTAAATAAATCAGAAGTAATCATTTTAGGTGACAAGTGAAAAGTATTTTATACTGAACAATTCAGTTTTAAGATGTATTATAGATATAGTCTGGCAAGTGGAAAATACCGTGGCATGAATTTTAGCTTGTGTCACCTATATATATATATATATATATATATATATATATATATATATATATATATGTATGTATGTATGTATGTATCTAAACAACTACATTCTTGCCTAAAAAAAAGCCACAAAGTACATTATACTGTCTATATATATATAGACCGTATAATGTACTTTGTGGCTTTTTTGGGCAAGAATGTAGTTGTAGATGTAGAATGCAACTATGCAGTTTATTTATAAAGATAGTGCCTATTTTATTTATTATTAATTTCATAGATTCAGTGCATCCGCGGCCTTCAGCCTTTCATTGAGCAGAGCAAAGACCACAAGATGGCGACAGAGACCGCATAATAAGCCCTTAGAGGAGAAAAACAGTAGCTGCGTCCCAAATCCCATACTTATGCACTATTCTACGCCATTTTGTAGTATAAATAGTGTAAGTAGTGCGTTCACACTGAAAACACTAAAAATAATAAGAGCACTTCAATTACCCGGATGATGCACTCATTCAGCCGCTAAAATGAAGTGTGTAATGATGGACACTTCACGCACTCAACGACCGCAGGTTTGCTTACGTAGCGGAAGGGGCGGAGCTATCGGACGCACATGTTGAATAACTTTATTTATTTTGGATGGTGAAAGTAAAATTCTCCTACGAGAGTGATTATAGCGCCTCCCGATGGTGAATGCGGCAATACTCACGGCAGGTTTTATTTGATAGTTTGGTCATTTATTTCAATGATTTGGCAACCGTCAAACGTCATCAGGGAAACGGTTTGAATTTCCGCTTAGTAAAAAAACATTAGTGTGCCATTTGGGACAACACTACATACATATACTATCCTGTTGAGTGTGTAAGTGCATAAGTACATAGTGCATGAGTGCATAGTGTATAGTGTGCCATTTGGGATGCAGCTAGTGTCCTTCTAAACCAAAGCTGATCAAATCATTATAAAACTGGTAAGTGACACTAAGTCAATTTCTCTCTTTTGTATGTTGTAGTGCTGTATTTATACCATAGTAATCTGCTAGTGTTTGCTTTGCTTTGGCTTTTTAGGTGTCAATTATTGTGATCTAAATCTCTGTAGACTGATGGCATTTCATGCCGTTCAGCATTATAATCTTAAAACGTGAGCAAAATCACTAGTTTTGACATCACTTTAGATATTACACTAGAACATCATTTAAATACTAGCTCTTAAGTGATGTTTGTGAATTAGCAATGGTTTCTGCTATTCTGATATTAGCTACAGATGTGAATGAATGGCAGAAGAAAGTGGTTACTTAAACAACATGATTTTTGGACTCTGTGTTTGATTTTCTTTTTTATCGTTAAACTGTTGTATAAACACAATATCACACTCAGAGCAGTGTGATATGGCCATATATCATCACTGGTGGGATACTAAGGCACCCGGCCTGCGGCCTCGAGCCAACGCACGTCTCCCACTAGTACCGATATTCAGTCATATCGCACTGCTACTCGTGTGATATTGCTCATATATTATATTATATTATATTATATTATATTATATTATATATATTTAATTTCACTTTCACTTTATGTAGTTAATTAAGTTTTTTGTTTTTGTGTTTGGTTTGTTATTTCAAATTGAGCATCATCACATTAGGTAATATTACAATAATACATCTGGAGACTCACCTTGTAAGTGGCCCACTTGTGGCAACAGGCGTGATTTGAGTAGCAGTTTGTGAGTCTGATCCACTAGCCAACTCATCTGTCTCTTTTACTGTGATGTCCACCTGTCCCACAGTGCCTTGAGAAGATTCTTCCTGGACAGACTCTTCAGAGGAGGGAATATTATCACTGCTTGCTGATGTTGAAATGACGGTGGGGTCAGTTTGCTCTGGTTTTGTCTCTGCTGTTGAAATGGGTAATGAAGGAGTTTCTTTTAAGGTAAGAGCTGCTGTGTCCTCTTTAACGCCTCGAGTGTTTTTTCTCATAACAGGGATGGGTTTAACCTGCAGCTTTGCTGAACAACGAAGAGAAAGTTCACTGGTATATGGAGATGTGCGATATTTAACATCTACAATAATATAGTTGTTGTTTTAATAAAGTGTGTTACTTTGATGTCAGTTTGCAAATAAAAGTTTGATTTAAAAAAATTATTTTATTTCTATATTTTATTTAAGTAGTATTACACAAATAAGAGTGATTATTAGCTCATGAGCACAATCAGAAATGTGCTACTGATATCATTCAAAGAATCAGAGTCTGCTATGTGAATCAGGAGTCTAATAGTCTAATAATTTTTACCTCTCCTTGTTCTCTCCGGTGGTTTTCTTTTCTTTTCCAGATGTTCATCAGTCTCTTCTGCCACAGGGCTTTCTGAAACTTCCACGACTAATATAAACAACAATACGGTTAATAAAACAGCAATATAGTGTAAGATAACAATAAGTTTATACTTTGTTAGGGCTGAACGATATGACAAAAATTTTATCTCACAATATGTCATCTCATATCCTGATTAAAAAAATATATATAGATTTTTTTTTAATATATATTTTAATATATATTTTAATATATATATATTCTCTTTCTCACTATATATATATATATATATATAGATATATATATATATATATATATATAGATATAGTGAGAGAAAGAGAGTACAATTTCTGTGTTTCCATATATATATATATATAGGAGCTCCCAGATACACAGCAGCGTTTTTGTTTTTTTTGTCTACTAAGTTTACTCTGCCAGGCGCTAAGCAAACAGTTACACTATGGACGTGCCGAACTACTTAAAATAGGGAACCGTTGTCAGAATTACTCATCTGGAAACTTCAGTTCTATTCCACCGGAGATCTTACTCTCTGGGGAGCTCAGTGGAACGCTCATCATACCGCCTGCAAAGCGCCGGAGACGGCGAAGAGACCGGAAGCAAAAGCGAGGAAAGAGAGCCGGCATACGGGCTAGGCTACAAGCTAACCCAAACAGACCAGCACTTCCGAGTCTCTTTCTTACGAACTCCCGGTCACTCGTGAACAAGATGGACGAAGTAAGACTAAGGATTATTTCACATCGCCTGAACAACTGTGTGATGGTAATCACAGAGACTTGGCTGGATAGCGCTGTCCCCGATGCGGCGATCGAGCTAGCAGGGCGCTCCGTATACCGAGCAGATAGAACGTCCGACTCCGGTAAGAACAAAGGTGGCGGAGTGTGTATATACATAAATAATGACTGGTGCACATCAGCGGACATTATTAGGTCGCACTGTTCACCTGACATCGAATACATGTCACTAAAATGCAGACCTTTTTACACTCCAAGAGAGTTTGCTGCTATTGTTATCACAGCTGTTTACATTCCACCACGGGCTAATGCTAAGCTAGCGCTAGAAGAACTGCATGAAGCTATTAACAGCCAGCTGAATGCATATCCAGAGGGAGCTGTGATTGTAGCAGGAGACTTTAATCATGTGGATTTAAAAACGGTCATGCCTAAACTACACACCAGCATACACTTTCCCACCAGAGACAACAGTATATTGGATCAAGTATACACCAATATCCCAGGAGCTTATAAAGCAGCCCCATCACCTCATCTAGGTTTATCAGACCATATCTCCATACACTTGACTCCGTCCTATAGACCGTTGATCTGCAGAACAAAGCCAACTGTAAAAACGGTGCAAGTTTGGAATGAGGAATCTTCTTCACGCCTACAAGACTGTTTTGAAAACACAGATTGGGACTTGTTTGCGAGTACAGATCTGGAGGAGTATAGTTCATCTGTTTTAGCATATATTGCTTTCTGTACTGACTCTGTGCTAACCACCAAAACCAGCGTGGTGTTCCCGAATCAAAAACCATGGTTTGACAGGAATGTGTGCTCTTTACTGAGAGTGAGGAACGCTGCCTACAGGTCAGGGGACAGGCATGCTTACAGAAATGCCCGAAAAGATCTAAAGAAAGGCATTAAAGCAGCCAAGTACAGATATCAGCAACGGCTGGAGGGACACTTTGAAAACAACAACCCTCGCAGCATGTGGAGGGGCATTAAAGCCCTAACAGACTATAAGAACAGCCCCTCATTGTCCAGCCATGATGCCTCGCTTCCTGACACCCTGAACGAGTTTTTCGCACGCTTTGACAGTGACTCCAACAGAATGGAAATCCAGACAGCACCATCACCCACAGAAGAGACGATACCCGTCTTCGAGTGTCACCAGGTGAGATCCACTTTAAGGAGGATCAATATCAACAAAGCAGCTGGTCCAGACAAGGTTTCAGGTCGCACACTTAAGTCTTGTGCTGACCAATTGGCGGGGGTGTTCACCAACATCTTCAACCTGTCTTTAAAACAGGCCATAGTCCCTATGTGCCTCAAATCAACAACCATTGTTCCAGTGCCCAAAAAGCAATCAGTGAAATGTCTGAACGACTATCGCCCAGTTGCTCTGACACCCATTATAATGAAGTGTTTTGAGAGACTTATCCTTTCACACATCAAAACAAACATCCCTACTGACCTGGACAGCCTACAGTTTGCTTACTGCAGGAACAGATCAACAGAGGATGCAATCTCAATCACACTCCACACCAGCCTTTCTCATCTGGAACATCCCAATACATATGTTAGGATGCTATTCGTAGATTTCAGCTCTGCATTTAATACCATTGTACCATACAAACTGGTAAACAAGCTGAAAAATTTAGGATTAACCCCTTCACTCTGTTCTTGGATTTTGGATTTTCTCACTAACAGACCACAGAATGTAAGAGTGGGCAACCACATCTCATCCACCATCACCATTAATACAGGAGCACCGCAGGGCTGTGTCCTCAGCCCAGTACTTTTCACCCTATTCACACATGACTGCAAACCCATTCACCCTTCCAACACTATAGTGAAGTTTGCTGACGACACCACAATAATAGGACAAATCTCTGGTAACAACGAGTCTCACTACAGAGAGGACGTCCAACACCTAATCAACTGGTGTGTCAATAACGATTTGGTTCTGAACACCTCCAAAACAAAAGAGATCGTTGTTGACTACAGAAGAGCAAAAAGGACACCACCAACCCCCCTCCACATAAATGGCGAGGAAGTCGAGAGGGTAAACAACATCAAATTCCTAGGCCTACATCTGACAAAAGATCTCACATGGACCATTAACACCACCCACTTAGTGAAGAAAGCTCAACAGAGACTTTTCTTCTTAAGAAAACTCAAGAAAACAAAAGTACCGACCCAGCTCTTACTAAATTTCTACAGGAGCACGATAGAGAGCATCCTCTGTCACTGCATCACAGTGTGGTACACAAGCTGCACTGCGGGAAACCGGAGAGCTCTATCCCGGACTGTTAAGACTGCACAGAGGATCATAGGAATTAAACTCCCAAACCTCGATACAGTCTACGCTAGCCGCCTACAGAGGAGAGCTAGCAACATCATTAAGGACCCTACACATCCAGGACACAAACTTTTTGCACTACTCCCATCAGGGAAAAGATATAAAGCAATTAAGACTCGCACAAACAGGCTAAAGAGCAGCTTCTTCCCCAGAGCTGTAGCCTGTGCCACCCCTCCTCCTTGTACACATTAACAATCACCCCCCCCCTCCCTCACTCCCTACCTTTCTGATGTTCTGCTGCTAATGCACAAAGACACTTTATGGATATTCATGTTTGCACTCATTTGCCATAATGTAAATACTGTGACTATTACATTTAGTATATTTTTATTTTACATCTTATATTTTTAGTATTATGTCTATTGTTGGTTTTTATATATTTTAGTATTATGTCTTATATTTTAGTATTATGTCTATTGTTTGTTTTTCTCTCTTTTTATGTTGCTGCTGGTCTCTGTGAGTTGCCAAACAAATTTCGTTGTACAACTACAATGACAATAAAAGTTCTTTACTTATATATATATATATATATATATATATATATATATATATATATATATATATATATATGAGACTGTTGTGTACAGCATGACTATATATAATATTAACTTTAATGTGTGTTATGACTAAAAAGTGGTCATAAAAGAATATTTTCTCAATTCAAATAAGTAGCGGATTGGACCCGGACACAGCATTTCATACATCACGACTTAGCAAGCAGATAATCTAAAATGTACTCACTTTATTTAGAACTTCAAGGTAAATGTTTGATTGAAAATTTTACAAATGGTAAATAAATATTAATAAATTATATAGCAGATTTCAAAAATGAAAGATTACAGGTCCAACATAAAAATAAAAAATATTGCTAAATGAAATGCCAAACATTGTGCTTTTAAGATTGCAACTTTCGCACAATGCTGTTATTCATGTCTGCATCCCCATAATGGCATGTAATATTGAGCTAGTACAAATTATGAAGAAGTATTACCATAAAAAATGCTATTTTGTGATACAATGAAATAAACGATAGACATTACGGTGACTCAGTGGTTAGCACTGTCACCTCACAGCAAGAAGGTCACTGATTCCTGGCTGCATCAGTTGGCATTTCTGTGTGGAGTTAGCATGTTCTCCCCGTGTTGGTGTGGGTTTTCTCCGGGTGCTCCAGTTTCCTCACAGTCCAAAGACATGCGCTATAGGTGAACTTAATAAACTAAATTGTCCGTAGTGTCTGAGTGTGTATGGATGTTTCCTAGTACTGGGTTACAGCTTGAAGGGCATTCGCTGTGTAAAACATATGCAGGATAACTAGGCGGTTCATTCCGCTGTGGCTACCCTGATGAATAAAGGGACTAAGCCAGAAGGAAAATGAATGAATGAAATAAACGATAGAGCACAACATGAAACGATGTCCTTATGAAATATATTATCATATTGCACAGCCCTAATTTTAATAATAAAGATGTCCTGAAAATGGTCTCACCACAATCTTCTGCTTGACTCTCACTTTTGGTACTCTACAAAAAAAAAAAAAGTATTAGCTTATTATGAAGCATCTATAGTGCTAAAAGATATGTTTTAGACACCTCTTGAGATGTCGAGGCTGGTGTCTTGCGTTTCAGTTGTCCTCTCCTGGATTTGTCTTCTTCTTCTCCTTCCTTCTCCTCTTCTTCAGACACAAGAACTAAAGCATCTGTGAGCAGAAGGTGAGACACTTCCTTGCTCTCATTCACACTGGAATAAAGAAAAAAGGGGAAAAAAAACATTAAGCAAACACAAGAGGAAGGACATGAAGACTTGTATTTGAAAGCAATCTAGTTTGGTGATGGAACTGGTGGTGGATGAGAAGATTCTCCCCTAATATGTGTAAAGCGCTTTGAATGACCAGAAAAGTGCTGTATAAATGTAAGGCATTATTATAGTTTACACTGAAAAATCTGCATTCATTTTGTTTATAATTGTCAGCTGAAGAATTAAACATTCTTAAATCCACATGTTTATATTTTTATGAGTATGTTGATTGTTCATTTTATGACATGATGAGATAATAGTTTAAAGCAAACTTTACCTTTGACCATGAGAATGCAAGCCGGGCTCAATTGTGGGTGGGAGGGGTTCTGTCCTAAGACACGCCCCCTGTTGTAAAGCGGGTGGGATTTCTGTCAGAGACAGTATAAACATGGATTCCTCAGAAGCATCTTTAGATTCACATCTTGAATGTTTCACACTGCTGTCTTCAAAAGCTTCATCTGGAGCCGTTATGTTTTGTTCTTCATCTAATCTGACCAGAGTATTCGGTCTGGAATTGTCTTCAGAAACAACTGGAGAAATATCTTTGACAGCCTATGGAAAAAAAGACATAATATTTATTATCATGTTCCTGTTTTAATGATTCTGCTTCTTATATAAAGGTTAAAAATCAGATTTAGGTGATATTTTACCTGTGTGGATTCAAGCCTCAATGTAACCTCCTGTTGTGTTGCTCTTTGAGAAACATCAGGTTCTGTGGTAATAACTGCGCCCTCTTCAGGACTTTTAGTGAAAGTTATTCCTGTAAGAAAACGACCAAAACATAATAATTCACGTTTTAGATTTTTGTAATTTTGTTTGCTTTTGTTTTAAAACTATTTTGTTTAGTATTTTTCAAATGTATAAATAAAAATATATATTTTAAGCAATGAAAAGAGGTTTATATACTCAAAACCTGGCAAGAAATTAAAAGATTTTGTAGCTTGCTTTTAAAAATCTTGTCACCTTTGTCTTATAATCCAGATTTACCATCCTCTATAGGAAGAACATTATTCATTTAGTGTAAAGAGCAAGGCATTGTCTTTTTAAAGCAAGTTTTTAAAGAGGGCACACTTAAATCTTTAATTTTATTATTTTTTTTAATTAAAAAGTGAATTTGATATTGACAATAAAGATTTTTACATGTTACTTTAAATTAGTAGTGGTAGTAGTAAACTTTATTGTCCTTGACAGGACATTTGTTATGGCATCACCATATAGCTGCAGACATTCAATAAAAACAAACAATACAAAATACAGCAGTTACAAAATTTATAATGCTAATTAAGGTAGACTCTTGTTAAATAAACCCATGAAACAGGTACATAGGATTTCTTATAACGGTTTAACCTACACTTTGGGAACAGTTATTTTTGTCAGTCCTGCTTCTCGATTCTAAGATCACATTTGCACGCATGTTGGGACATCCTTATTGTCAAACCCTGCTTTAAGAAAACCACAATGTAAAAATTATTTCCAACCTGCCAAAGTCGCTAGTGGGAGCGGCTGTCTAACCCGCCAAAGCTGAAATCTACCCGCATTTGGCGGGATGGTGTCGTAATTCGACTTCTTATCAATTAGAAATGATCAGACCGGAGGTTTTGAATATCAGAAAATAGACTTTATTCTCCATAATAAAGCTGAGAAAGAGCAGAGCAGACCCCAGAGCATTCTGAAGTCTCTCCTGGACACTTCATTTCTTTGGTTCTCTCTTTCTCTGCTCCTTCTGAAGTCTCTGTGTTTTTTTTACAATCTTTATACAGGTTATTTTCCACACCCCTAGGTATCTTGTTTTAACTCTTGGCCAGTTTTGAATAGGTTTCTAGTCTAAGGGGTCCTGCTATTCTTGGGTCTCAGCCCACTAGCTCATGTCAACAGAGATGTTACAGGTCTATGTCAGCAAAGTATAGATGCAACTTATGCAAAGGAACTAAGTGTTTGCATACATTGTCATAAAAGGATAATAACTTGATAATATGTTACTCACTCTAAGCTTCATACAAGTATTTAACATATATAATCAGTGCTTTACATATTCAGTTATTCTACACAATCAGTCATAGCCTTCTCCTAGTGTTGCTCCTGTGCAAGCATACTCATCTTACACAGTATTTTTAACACACGCTGGCATGTTTGCTGCAAACACTACATACATTTTGAGAAGAGACCATTAACTGGTTTGCACTTAGAAAATACTTCACACTGAGAGAATAAAATCCTCTTTAATGGCGGATGTTAATGTAAAGCCCTGTGCACACATATAATATTGTATACCTTCCTATTAAAAATATAAATTTAAAAGAGAGGTTTGTGAGGGGGTATACAGAAATGCAACGTATATAAACAGAAAATCTTCAAAAATCAAGCTTATTAGGAAATAATCTTAAATTAAATATCTTAAACATTAATTAAATTAGATTATTTCCTAATGAGCTTCATGTTTCGAGTCATTTCATGCTTTAGGTAACAGTGTGTGTGTCTAAATTGTCATACCTGTTGTGAGTGAAGGAGTGTTGAGTTGTGTTTGTGTGTGTTTTTTTCTGGATGCTTGAGTCAGGTTTGGTTTAGGTTTGGGTCCCCTGTTCCTCCTGACAGGTTTAGGAGCCTCGTCTAGTGTGCTCTGAGACTCACTCTCACTGAAACACACAGAATACAGACAATATTTACATGCACACTCTCATAAAATAAGATCTGAACCCCTGCCATTAAAGCATTCATTTTAGCTAGCTAAAAAAACAGAACAAAACGACCAAGAGATGAAGGATTTCAGATTTGTCACGCCTTAATGCAATTCGTTAGATCTAATAATTTTGATTTCAACTGTATATATAACAAAACAAAAGGATATTAACAAGATTTTAATACCTATTAATAAGCACTGGATCTGATTTAGCCTCTTCGTGTTCTTTTATCTTCTCCTCTGTGATTTCGTCTTCATCTTTTCTCTTTAATGACACAGCAGATCCACTATCACCTCCAGTCAGTCTTTCAGGAGCATCTTCTCTTCTATCAGATACTGTACCCGGCTGCTGGACCTCAGGGTGTATGTTAGAGGAGTCTGACAGTTCATCTGCAATCTCTTGCATGGATGCCTTTTGTTTTTCATCCTGTTCTGCCGAAGTCAGACTCTTTGAGTTCTCCACAGAATCTGCAGGAAGTTCTGAACTGATCTGCTGCTGAGGAGCTCGTCTGCTTTTCAGACCAATATTGGGCTTGGGTTTGGCGAAACGGCCTCTTGTTGAAGAAGGAACAAAAGTAGATGCCAGATCCTGTGAGACTTGCTGAACGGGACCAGGATGAGACATTGAATTCTGTGATTTGATTGGCTCTTCTATTGAAGTGGGAGGTTCTGGGATTTGAGTTTCACTGTTTGAAAGTTCAACATCACTTCTCATCTCTGAATAACAGCTTATAGAAGGATCAGACATGATGGCCGTTTCTGTGAAGACTTCCTCATTAGCGATTTCTTCATGCACATCAATATCATGTCCACCTGAAAAAGATTTTTTTATTAATCAGTTTTCTAATTTGATTATAAGGAATGTAATGATTTAGATTCAAGAAGTGGGTTGAACTGTGATGTTTTTCTTACTTAAGCAGGGCATTTCTGAGGTCTGGATCATCTGAGCCGAGTTGCCGATGGTCAGAAGAGTCTGAGCTGCTTCATTGTTGATCTCTTTACATACTAAAAGAAAGACGAAACACCAGAATTTAGATTAAATGATTTACATTGCATGCAGGGGTGGGTGACATAAATGAAATGTTATTATTTTCAACATTTTTTAAATGTTCATGTTTGGAAAAGTAAATGTAATTTTTTTTTTTATTTATAGTAGGATCATTACACATTTAAAGATTTAGAACCACTTTATTATACAGAGTCTTAGTTACATATTACACTATTACTAATTACAGTAATTAACATGCAATACATCCCTTATCCAACTCCACAGCTTGCACATGATGTTCATTAATCAGTCCCTCCAGGATTTTGCAGGAACATTTGTTTTATTGACTTTAATTACGATTCAAAGTGTTTATAGTCATATGCACAGTAAGAAACTGGTTCTCTGCACAATGAAATTCTTACTTTGCTGTCCACACTGAATGCTAATAAAGTGTAATGTATATTCAAAATATAAATAACTTATTTAACAAAATAGGCATGAAAAAAAGTAAACAAGTATAAACTATGAAATAAATAATATATAATAAAGGTTTCTATATAGATAAATGCGTAAATATTAAAAACTGTTGTGCAGAAACAGTAAAGAATGGATATTGTGGAAAAATTTAACAGCATTCATTTGCAGTGGTTAAATGTTAAAGTGTGTATGTGCAAGTGACAGTCTGTTGTAAAAGACTCCTGTCAGCCATTGAGAGGTCTGATGGCAGAGGGGGAAAAAGTGCTAGTTTTAGCGATGCCTATGGAAGAAATGACTAGGAATAATAAACATCAGAAATGGTCAAACTACTTGCTCTACAAACAAGTGTGTTCATGATTACACATAAAAGCTAGAATAATATAATAAGAAAATATCGGTTGCACCATAGCGAGCTGTTTTTAATGTCAATGAAAGTGAATGAGACTGGAAGTGTTGAGCCAAAATAAGATTCCAATGGCTGTGCCTCCCCGTACATGAAGAATAGGGTAAATTTTAGAGGCCTAAAATGACTAATGATTTTGTGATGGCTTTTCTCAAAATGTATGACATTATTCGCTTGTATTCATTTCTTGTGTTTTGCTTTGAAAATACACAAGAAAATGGTAAAATGTTAATTTTTTTAAATCAGTAATAAACAGTAGATGGAGCATTGGACCACTCTAAATAACATACTTTTGTCTAATTCTCTTAGATTTTGTTTTTGGACCTAAATATAGACTTTACAAACTCGCTAATATAAAATAAAATTTACCACTTCATTTGTACTGACATCATTTGCAATTAACCCCAGTAAAAACCTGGTACAGGGTTTCTGCAGCTTACACCAAGTCATATTTAAGACTTTTAAAGACCTTTTTAAGCCAATAATGAATAAAAAATCTTTACTAATTGCCGGTGGAAAACATTTTTACTAGTTGAATTGATCAAATTTAATGGATTGTTAGTGATTGGATGGGTGTTTGTACAGTTATAAACGATCAAGGACCTACAACACAATATTTCAGGAAATTTAAGTTTAGTGTTTGAAATTTAAGACATTGTAAGACTTTTTACAACCCTCCGGACACCCTGCGGTATTAATATATCTACATGTAATACATTTGTTTGCATGTGTAATAAGAATTATAGTTTAACCTATTCATTTAGGTTAGTGTTTGAATAAATAAACACTATAACAGTTTTAAATCTAAATAAAATCTGTGCATCTGTTACATGTTATTGAATAGTGGAAAAGTTTATGACTATATAATATACTACTTGATGGATATAAATACAGTAGTCAACATTTAAAGTGGATCAAAACGTTCAAAGTATCCTAATACTATTGATCAACACCCATTCTTGTCTTAGGAAAACATTTTGATCCACTTTAAATGTTGACTACTGTATATCAGGCGATAGTTCACTCAAATAAGCCTGAGAGAGTTTCTCCTCACCTTCCATGTGTTCTGGGTCAAGAAACTCAATGACATCCTACAAAACGAGACACAAATTAGTACCATCCCATCCAATACAACTAGATTTATGTTCACTGCAGCTGACATCAAGTGCAAATAAAGAAATAAAAAAAGACATTAAGTGATAAGTCAGTGTTTATGATGGACAGTGAATGGAGGAAGCATCAGATGTGAAAAAGAGCCACAACCGACGATGGGAAGACTTACAACGAGAAGGTCCAACTGATGTTCATACGAGACAGGACCAGCAGGAAATACGGCCTGCTCACATGCAGACTCGGGGCACAAAGCATTGTGGGACGCGCTCAAGATATCAGGCACATTCGCTGAAATGTCCAGCTGGGAGCCAATGGGAACGAGTAAAAGAAAAGGGAAGGACAATGAAAGCTTGGACATGACATGCAGAAATTAATTTGAATGATGAAGCAAGACTGAACATCGCTTTGCTCAGAAACATGGATAGTATATTTAGTACATGGATGTAGGCCATACAGTACCATTCAAGCATACAGCGGGGTAATAAGTATTGAATCCTTTTTTTCTCAGACAACATTTTTTTAAAGGTGCTGTTGACTTGAAATGTTCACCAGATGTTGGTGACAACTAAATAAATCCATATATGCAATGAAAACAAATCTAATTCGTATACAAATTAAGTTATGCTTAATAAAATGATGACACAGGGAAAACTATTGAACACACATGAAAAACGGGAGGTGTGGAAAGACTGAAATCTGAAGCTGAAATCTCTCAGTAGTTCTTCAGCAACCCTCTGCTCTTCCTCATTGTAAATTAATATTAGCTGCTTCAGTCCTACATTTACATTAGCAGGATGAGGAAGAGGAAACTAAAGTGGACATTTCAGCAAGTGAATGATTCAAAGCACAGCCAAGGGAACTCTCAAAGAAAAAGAAAATCAGAAAAAGAAAATCAAGCTGTAGAATGGCCCAACCAATCACCTGACTTGAATCCAATATGGAATACAAATTAAAGATCAGATATGATAAAAGAGACCCACAGACCCATCAAAGGTTTTACACTCTGTTAAAGTCTGTAAAAAAACTCACACCTGAGCAATTGACGTAACTTCATTCTCCGTATGAGAGGCATCTTTAAGCTTCCATCAGCAAAATAAGCGTTTTATATAAAAGTATTAAATACGTTTCAGTAGTTCAGTACTTTCCCCTCGTGTCATTTCATTCATTACACATAACAAATTTTTTAGATAGATTTTTTTTTTAATTATTATGTTTGTATAGTTTGGGTTTTTACAAAAATCTGGTTCAATTTCATGTCAACAGCTCCTTTAGAAATATTATTTCCAGGAAAAACAGAATGTGTTTAATACTTATTTCCCCCACTGTATCTGGTGTACTAAAATGTTTAATTTCTATGGATTTAATAGGTATGTGTTTGAGTAAATTGTCAATATTTCATTATTCAAGATATTTCTGATTTGTCCCATGTTTCAAATACAAAAACATTGTTATATAGAGTGTGTTTGTTTTTTATACACAAAATGGCAATTGGTCAGAATAACTAAGTATTCAATTTATTGTGATCAATAAACTAATATAGATTTTCTAAACTCCTCTGAAGTTAAAACATTGATTTGTGTTTATATATGTCTAAAAATGTATATAAACATATCTGAAAACATGTTTCTGTTTTTTTTATGTAAAAATGCTTTAAATGACAACATTTGTATTTTATATTTATAAAACATCCTAAATGAAGACAAAAATGTTACTTAAACATACAAAAACAAACTAATGTGATGTGTATGTATACATGTTCAGTTGAAGACAAAATAATAAGATAATTCTGATTCTTTTTTTTTATATATTTCCCAGTCGTTAGACGGAGATTACTTTTTTCCAACACATTTTTTAAATAATAGTTTTTAAATGAATTTCTAATAACCAATTTCTTTGGTCTTTGCCATGATGACAGTACATCATATTTTATAAGATTCCAGTATGCAGATTAAGGTCTAATTCAAAGGCTTACCTAGGTTAATTAGGCAAGTCATTGAATGACAGTGGTTTGTTCTGTAGCCAATTGAAAAATATTTTAAGTTTTTTAAGGGGGGCTAATAATATTGACGTTACTATTTTTATTTATTTATATATATCTATTTTAAGGTGCAGTAGGTGATCTGCCAGAATGCTAGCACTAGCATAATAGCTTAGAAATTTTACGACCCTCTCCTGCCGTCAAAAGCCACGCCTCCTTACATCATGAACTCATGAAGGTGCACTGATTAGATATAACACTAGATCATGTCATTCACCATTTAGAAAACACACACTTTATCAAGCATAGTTGTTCACAGGCCGGCGCGTGCAGGATTTTATTTCCCCAAACTCTATCACAGGCTGTCACTGTTCAAAAATGAACAAATGTGTGAATATAAATTAAACTTCACCTCAGTGTAGCTGGTTAGGCGGAAGAGCACATTTACTGATTTGTTATTAAACTAAATAAAAACAAGATCAGAAAAAAAGGAGTGCTAAAAACAGAAATGTCCTGTCATCTGTTTACATTTCACTTATGCTTATGTTATCAATTCAACGAGTGATCCTAGTACATCGCTTGTTTTCAGACCCTTTTTCACTTGAACAACTAATGAATGCTCGGGTCAATTTAACCGACTATAATAAAAGGTAATATAGTCTGTAAAAGGTTCTCCATTAACTTGAAAATAGCCAATCTTTTGCCGGACATTTTCAGTAGCTGAACAACAATTCCGTGCATATAAACCCATTCAAAAACAAGAACACATTCTACATCAACTTTGTGTGGCTAAAATTGTTTTCAAACACACCTGTCTAAATGTAATACTTCAGCCGTGGTGTCACCCTGCAGGTCTTTGTTTTGAACAGCATAACATCATTTCCCTCCAGCGTGCAAAAGTAATCCTGATATTGATTCAGGGTTTAGAAAAGTTTTGATTCTGCATTTTTGGCAGAAGCCCTTTCAGAAATAATCTTTCTGTTCATGCATACAAGGCCCCATTGGTCTTTCAGAAAGAAGCTCAGGTTGATGCAGAGTTTATGGATTACGTCTCTCTGTCAGCGGTAGATGCATGCTTCACGTGTGCGCGTGAATAACTTACAGTATTTGTCTGCTTAAAGAGGTTGGCAGAAATGTTAATTTGTTGACAAACAGTTTGAGATACCTGTCGTAATTGAGTTATTTGTCTGTCTGACAATATTTAATTGGACGAACATTTTTTAGTTTTATGCCTTATCTAGAATATAAAAATACTAGGGATGTAACAATATTGTAAATACTGTCAAACCGCAATAGTAATTTTTATCAATATTACCGTAGGCGCATGACTCAATAAAACTATATTTCTAAGAAACGTTTGCTTAGGCAAATGAAGCGAACGAGAGGTAGCGGGAACTACAATTCCCATCATCCTTTGCAGTCTGTTGTCACTACAGATCCAGTAATGGGGAAATGGAGTGTGTTGCTAGTAGCAGGGAAGAAAAAGAGCTGGAAATGATCGAAAATAAAGCGGGTTTTAAAACGGATGTGTGGAAGCATTTCGTTTTTTTTCTAAAAAGATACGAAAAAGGAGAAAAGGTGACAGACAAAGAAAAAAACAATACACAGGCACTGCCAGACTGTGGTGAAATATAAGTCGGGGAATACGACTAAAAACAGTCATGGGGACTGCAGAACACAGCAGTTAGATTGATGCAGACATTGACTTGTACCGCAAAGAGACCTCTATCTCACTCATGGCTTGTCCTCTCAAGTGGTGGAAAGACAATGCACAACGTTACCCACTGCTGTCAACCTTGGCTAAATCATATCTCACTGTCCCAGAAACCTCAGTCCCAAATGAGAGGGGTTTGTCTCTGTTGCAGGGGACATGCCCAGAGATCCCAGCTTTTACCAGATTATAGTTATATGATAATTTTCCTTAAAAAACCCATCTTTATCTAAGTAAGTGAGTGATTAAATGTTGAATGTGATGAGTTTTCAACAATACTAAATTGAAACTATTTTTTTTATATGGTTTAATAGTTTTTTGTTATTAAAATTTAAAAATTGAAGTTCCTGTTTCGAAACTTACAGATAGATGGCTAATGTGTATGTCATTGTAAATTCAGTGCTAACGTAAATAAACACTTTTGGCACTTTTTTCGAATCTTTTCATTAGTTTTGTTTTTCCTGTAAGTTATTCAATAAATACCGTACCGTGCCATTCATACAGAGGTATTATCGTAACGTGAAATTCTGATACCGTTACATCCCTAAAAAATACATATAAATACGTTTAGATCATTTACTTTAATCAGTACTACTGGAATGTGAAGAGACTTTCAACCAGCACAACAAAACATGTTTCTGAAGACAATCACCTACTGCACCTTTGATAAATCTTTTTTGTTTAAACGCACCAAAATACATTTATCTGTTAAACGTCAGTTCACTCAGATATTTGAAAAAGAAACACTATTTCAGAGGAGGGTTAACCATTTTTAAGTGTATGAATGAGTGAATACATTGGGAGTCTTCATGGTAATAATATGTGATGAAGGAAACCCTGATGACTTCCTAATATGATGTAATAAATAAATAAACACACCTCTTCCATGGTTTCTACCACCTCTGAATCAAAATGATCTTGAGGTCGTAGACTCATTGGCACAAATGCCTGGTTTTCCTCTTCAGAGTTTGAAGGAAAGTCCTCCTGGCTCAGGATGCAACCCTCTGCTTCCTCTCTCTCTTCATCATCATCTTCTTCAGCCCCAGAGGCCAGTAAAGTCACCAGTCTAGATTTCCCTCTCCTCTGCATGCCCTGTTTTAGTCTGGGGCCTGGTTTTATTTTAGCCCTACAGCCAGGTGATGGAACACAAACTTTGGAAGAGGTAGGGGGATCAGAGGGCTCTTCCTCATCTTCCTCCTCCTCTGCCGCTGCCTGTATCACATGCTGAGAGAGCTTGGGGATCCTTCCTGACCTAAATTTAAGATGGATACAAATTAGTGTGACAAGTAAAACTGAAAACAAGACCACAGAATAACTGGGAAAAAACAATAATGATAATCTAAAACAAAATAAAATAAAAAAAGTAAAAAAAATAAAATAAAAAAAACTATGCAGTGGCGCAGTATGCATGTATGCAAGTTTGCATGTTTTCCTCCGGGTGCTCCGGTTTCCCCCACAGTCCAAAGACATGCGGTACAGGTGAATTGGGTAGGCTAAATTGTCCATAGTGTATGAGTGTGTGTGTGTGTGTGTGTGTGTGTGAATGTTTCCCAGAGATGGGTTGCGGCTGGAAGGGTATTTGCTGCGTAAAAACGTGCTGAATAAGTTGGCGGTTCATTCTGCTGTGGCGACCCCGGATTAATAAAGGGACTAAGCCGACAATGAATAAATGAATGAAAAAAAAACTATTCAAAAATCAAAGGAATACAAAAAGCATCAGAAAAAAAATATATTACAAAAAGTACAAACATTGGCGCGGTATAGTTGTTACTGTTATCAAAAACTCAAAAATGATCAAAAACAAATTTCATAACTGAAATAAACACGAAACATGTATTTTATCTCAGAAAAAATGCTGCAACTTAATTTCCAATGTGATTTACATGATGCAGAATGCACACATGTGAGTTTTCATGTAGCACCTCTCACACACTGACAGAATTAAATATACATTAAATAAATTCTTTCAGGCTTGACATGTTTAATTTCAGTTTATTTCATAACAAAAGCCCCTTTCACACATACAGACCAAAGGTTGTGTGTGTGAACAGTATTTTGAAAATACCGGTAAATTGGTTCTGGCTATTTTCCGGAAAGAGAAGTTGTAACATTACCGGCAATTTGCCGGAATGCTGCGCTGTGTGAATGCAGAAGGAAGATTCCCATAATAAGCGCGTGCACGTCTAGAACGTGCTGACGTGAGACGTCTGCTTTAGCCAATCACAACAGTCAGATGCATTTACGTCCGCGCGGTTTGTGAGGATAAAAGCCTTTGAATATGTTTCCAGACACATTTAGCTGCTAGAAGTTAGTCAGATCACGTTTATATGTTCTTCTTAATGCCAACTGTGTAAATAATCATCGATGAGATGCTTATGATAAGCCGTTGTTTGTTTACCTTCAAGCTTTGCGTGCGCCTGTGAAACAGCCTGTGAGCGCCTGCACACGCACATATTATGAACATCTCGACATGCGAAAGTGATCCTGCAAAAGTTGTTCACAATATTGATCATCCACAGAGTTTGTAATTTAGTAAAATGTTTACAAATACAAGCGCAGCCGTTTAAAGCTCATTTGTGGTGAATGATGTCAGAATTTACCGGTATTTTGGAATGGATGTGTGAATGCTCTTTTCCGGAAAATTTCCGTAACGTCCTCGCCTGTGTGAACAGCGCTTTTTTCAATATACCGGTAAAGTCGTTCCGAAAATTTTCCAGAAATTTACCGGTATTACTGTGTGAAAGGGGCTAAAGTCTTTAGGACACTGCTAAATGTATAGTAATTGATGCAGAGTTTTATAATGTTTGTAAATGCTTCATTTTATTTAAGACTACCGGTAGGCTACTGTATTTTTCATTCATTCATTTATTTCGGCTTAGTCCCTTTATTAATCAGGCGATGCCACAGCAGAATGAACTGCCAATATATCCAGCATATGTTTTACACAGTGGATGCCATTGCAGCTGCAACACAGTACTGGGAAACAACCATATACTTTCATTCACACACATACACTACGGCCAATTTAGTTTATTCAATTCACCAACATGCCTTTGGACTGTGGAGGAAATCAGAGCACCTGGAGAAAACCCATGCCAACACGGGAAAAACATGCAAACTCCACACAGAAATGCCAACTTGCTGTGAGACGACAGTGCTAACCACTGCTCCACCATGACGCCTAGGATATTTTTCCTTTTTCTAAATAAATTAATAAAAGGTGGCTTATACTCCAATGCATACACCAAAAACGTATGTGTTTTGTTTTTCTCTCAACAATGTGGTTTTGACTCAGTGTGACTCAACTTCCGGAAAATAAGATAAATGAAAATTCAAATCAAATTCACTGGAAGGAAAGGTTCAAATACTAAAACTAGTGAAATTTAACAAAAAAAAAAAGTTAAAAAATATTATTTAAAAAGAAATTTATGAATAAATAATTAAAATAAAAATTAAACCAAAAACATTTTACATTATCAAATCATCCTATAGCACGATATAAACAAAGCAAAAGCATATCCCACGTATAACTGAAGATTCCAATGCTTACCTGGTTGGTTTATTGAATATCTGTTCTTGCACAGCACTCAGGTCCGGTTCTTCATCTAAATCAATCAGATCAATGATAACTGAAGCCTGTTTCTTGTCTTTCTCTTCTTTTGAGGCGGAAGGCACCTAAAAAAATTGATTATAGTAGATTAAACAGACTCTTCTGTCACTTGCTGCTGTAGATCTTGAATCAAACAGCTGAAAACATTACCTTGAGAGGATCTTCATCTTTAGCCGAAGTCCTGTTTTCCTGGATGTTGTTTTTGGGCCGTCGTTCGCCCCATCTGCGGCTGATGTTCGGGATCAGTTTCTGAGGTCGACCCTTCAGCAGAGCAGGTTTAATAGAAGGACTCTTGTTTATGTTCTTTGATGATTCTGAGTCCTTTAACCTGCCAGAAAATGTTTCATTTTCAGCCCACAAAAGGTCGTGTAATATAATAAACCGTCTATGCTGTGCAGAAATAAAGCTTACGTTTAATGTTAATAAGATTTAATACTTTTCATGTATGCAAAATAAATAAATTGATAACTTGAGTGACAGTTAAGACTTTTAGATGGCTAGTTAAATTAAATAACCATGTAAAACATAATGAATTAAATTAAATGCTGATCTTTTATCTTTCTAATAATCAAATAATCCTGAAAACTTTTACATTGTTAATTAAATTAAATAATTATGTAAAATGTAACCAATTAAAATAAATGCTGCTTTTTTTACTTTCTATTAATCAAATAACCTTAAAAAAATTATTATTTATTTAAATTAAAAATACTAAGCTGCACTTTATAAGATTTGACCATTTTACTATCTAAACGTTTAGCAGCAAATCAGCATATTGAGAATGATAGAATGATTTTTTTAATACTATAATTTTACTGTATTTTTGAGCACAAAAATGGTGACAAAACAAAAGACTTAACACAAAACATCTGAATATTAGTTTTCATTTTAATTTGAAAAAAAAAAACAAATGCACATGAGATATCTTTAAACTTTTTAATGATATATATATATATATATATATATATATATATATATATATATATATATATATATATATATATATATATAAAATTTCTTACCTGTCATCCGGTGACTGAGTGTCTGAAGTAACATTTTCACAGTCCTCAGGGTTATCTACTGAATAATTGAAATTAGCAATAAATAATATAAAAAAAATTACAATTATATTACAAAATAAAAAACAGCATACAAAATATTAACCAAAAATTGGTGACTTTTTATGCAAAAATCACTTTTATAAGGGCTTCAAACACAGTTGTTTGGCAACAGTATGTGAATATAACCAGCTTGTAATGGTAAAAATGTATTCATTTTGCAGAAACACTTTGGTTGACATTCTCCCTTTGTATGTGTCCTCAGAGGGGGAAAGTCCCATTCATTAGTGACAATCTCTCCCTCATTAGCATAGGACGTTAGTCTTGTTTTTGTATCTGCCACTATGCTGACACACAGGCATATGTAGCTCTACCCTCTTTTGAAAAGAGCACAATGTCATTTGAATTTAAAGCGACAGTCACCAAAATAGCACAATTAGGATCAAAGCCTAAAAGGGTCAGTTTCAAAGAGTTCTAAAACATTATTTGTGGAGTACTTTAAGCTGAAACTTCACATACACACTATGGGGAAACATCACAGACTTATGTTACATCTTGTAAAAACAAGCATAATAGGTCCCCTTAAAATAGAAAATACATTAAAAGCATACCCTCTTCATATATCCTCTTAATGTCCCTGTCTGTATTTTTCGCTGCTCGTCCCCTGCGTCTCTTTGGAGTGACATCACTTTCTCCATCATTTGAAAGATCTTCATTCTCCTTTTCTCCTGCCACCACATCACTGTCTGAATCCTCTGAAGAGTCCATTCCCTTTCTTTTAGCCACTGGATCAGATATATATATATATATATATATATGTTTATTTATTTATTATTATTATTTAAATGCATTTTCCTGTTCTTCTTTTAACTCAAGTTAACAATAATGTGTCTATTACACATTTGTCTCATAAGATGTAATTTTGTTAATCTCTGAAAACAATAAAAAGTTGATCACAAAAAAAAAAAAAGAGTTCAAGTGTTTATAACAGCTTGTCAAAAAAAACTCAACAAACAACAAAAAATCCAAAAAAACAAACAAACTGACCTCTCACTTTCCTTTTTGCTTTTGCCAACTTGAAATGCTCTTTGCTTTTGTTCTTTTTCTCTTCCTCGTCATTTAGAATCTGCTCCATTAACTTTTTGAAGAAATCTAGATCCAAACGTCGCTTCTCCTCTGAAAACAGACTAAGATTTACTAAGTGAAAAGCATCTTAATGCTTGGCATGTGTAATAGATAATACTGTAATTTTAATTTTAATGTGTGAGCTGAAATATTGAAGTATGACAAAAACAAACAAAAAAGGTGTCTTGAGAATCCAAAAACATTCAATATATTTATCCATCACAGGCCTAAACCAGCCAATGCACCTAAACAAAAACACACCTCCATTCTTAACAAAATATTGTTACTGCTTGTAATGTACTAATATAAACGGTAAAAATAAATGGATCGATATCACACACATCTATTTAGTAATGTACGTTTTCTATTCCACGGCCCTTTTTAAATACTTTTCAAAATATTTCTCTAGTAATGTAGAAGAACTTTTATTTCTTTTAGTTTGGCTGGAATAGATTTTTCAAATTGTCTTAAGGTAAATATTAGCTCCCTTAATAACTTTTTAATTGGCTACAGAAACAACACTGTTGTCAATTCAGTCCTTAATATGCACTTTTGAGGTATGACAAACTATTACCCATAAAAACTAGGGCTGCTCGAAAATAGGAAAAATTATAAACATAATTATTTTGGCCATAATTGTAATCAAACCACACTAAATCGAAATGAACTTCAACACTGAAAACTGGACTGACACTGTTTCAATTTACTTTAATCTTCTATGTGAAGCTGCTTTGACACAATCTACGTAGTAAAAGCGCTATACAAATAAAGATGCATTGAACTGAATTGCACTTTAAGGTGAATAATAGTATCTTGCAAAATAACTAGTAACATATTATGTACTGTCATAACGACTAAGACAAAAGAAATTAGTTATTAGAAATGAGTTATTAAAACTGTTATGTATAAAAATGTGTTGAACAGAGATCATTGAAAAGCTCATCAAAATTTCACAGGAGAGCTAGTCATTTTGTCTTCAACTATATATTGTTTGCACATTGCTAAAAACATTGACTTACTGAAAGCTTTATCTATTCTCCATGCATTATTTTTCTCCTCTTTCTTGAACTTGTTCTGGGGAAATAAGAGAACAGAATTATATGGATTAAGACCTCTGAAAATAAGCCTGTGCTGTATTTTATGCACAAATGATTTATTTACAGATTTGGAGATATTAGACAATAGTCAGCATCTTCACTTGTAACCAACAAACATTAAACAGTGACAATCAGCAATGACAAAAAAGCTTGCAGGCAGCACAACCGTTTTTAACATCAATATTAATAAGAAATGTTTTTTAAGAGCGATTAAAAAACAATTTATTAGTACAAGACACTGGAGTAACAGCTGCTTATAAAAATTAGCTTTCATTTTTTTAATAATATGCTAACATGTTTAAAATAAGTCTTATGCCGTGGTCAAACTAGAGTTTGAGCATGCACAATTCTGTGGTACGCCACTGCAAAAAGGTGTAGGATCAAACAAGTTGATTAGACATTTAAAAAAAAGCAAGTGATTGACTGGTTCATATTTTAAATTTCTGTTGTGATCTTCGGTTGGTCTCACCCAGTAACAGGATGCAATTTCACAGGTCAGAGTTAACCAAGTTTGAACTTTGCAACGCAGCAAACTGCAAAACTTGCTGCACGACCTTGCAGTTTGTCATATTTGTGTGTGCGTGAATGGAAGTCTATGGGTCAAACGTGCAAGTGTGATCAAGGCTTCATGTTGCATGGGTAATTTTTTGGCAATACCCAAAAATGTATGATTTATATTTTATGCCAAAAATCATTAGGATATAAAGTGAAGAATATGTTCCATGAAAAAATGTGTAAATTTCCTACTGTAAATATATAAAAACTATCATTTGATTTAGTACTAGGCATTTATAAGAACTTTATTAGGACATTTTTAAAGGTTATTTTCTCACTATTTCAATTTTTCTAATTAAACTGACTGGTTTTGTGGTCCATAGTGACATATATAGTTTTGCTCAAAGAATATTGCACAATATAAATGTTTTTAATTTAATTATTAAATGAACCTTGGTGAGCACTTTTCCTAATCTCCACATTTTTCAACAATCCACTGTTTAGAGCAGGAAACACAAAGATATGGTGATCACCTTGATCTCCAATCGACCTCGGTGTGGAAAGAGTTGGCCGATCATGGAGAAATCAGTCCCAACCATGCTGATGGCCAGGAAAAACATCTCAGTTTCTAAAACACAGACAAAATAAATTAAACATATGACACTTTGGATTAAGAGGTATTTTGTGTTTGACTTCTGACCTCCGTTGGACCATGGTTTGGTGTAGGTGCCTTTCCTAAAGCTGGAGTAGGTGGTGGTGGAGCCACGCTCAAATATAGGATCTCTGTCTTCTGCTGGATTGGGCCCATTAGCTCTCAATACCTGCACTGTTAAACTACACAACAGAATTCAAGAAGAATTTTGCATTATAAGTTCTGAGCAAAATAACAAAAATCTCATAGCATGATACAATTCATCTCACATCCTAATAACAATATACATGTACAGTTGAAGTCAGAATTATTAGCCCTCCTGAATTTTTAGCCCCCCTGTTTATTTTTTTCCTAATTTCTGTTTAACGGAAAGCTGATTTTTTAAACACATTTCTAGACATCATAGTTTTAATAACTTATTTCTAATAACTGCATTCTTATATCTTTTCCATTGTGAGTACAACATTTTTACTAGATATTTTTTAAGACACTAAATTCTGCTTAAAGTGCAATTTAAAGGCTTAACTAGCTGATTTGATCTCAGTATTTTTTACTGTTATTATCATCCTTTTTACACTTTTTTGTGTTTCCACCCGATATAAACAAACATCAGCGAGAGATTAAGCAGTGGAAAATCTTCTCTCCTTTACCCGTTTCATACTGCTCATTCTGTGTGTTCGAGAACTGTCAACATTCACGAGCTCGGCAGACACACAAAACTTTTTTGCGTCCGGCCGGCATTTCTAAATGTACTAAAATATCCGGGATTTAATTTTTCGTTTGTTTTCTAAGCTGCCATTATTTTTTTGCGCACATCCGCAAGAGTGACATTAAATAATTAATTCTTTATTCTAAATGACTCAGAAAACCTTTACTAAATATTCAGAATGGGTGAAATCACATCTAAATTGCCTGCAGAATATTTGTACACCATTAGTAATGGGTTATTAACTCATTTGTCTTAATTAAATACATTTTAGTCTTAAAATTGTTATATTTTTATGATATCTTGTATGTTTTTCTTCCTTTTTTTCCTGTCATTTTTCCCTTATTTGCTGTATATTTTACTCATTTGATGTCGATATATTACATATTTTATACATCTAAAATGCTTTAGCAATACTGTACAAAATGGCATGCCAATAAAGCAACCTGAATTTGAATGAGAGATAGAGAGGAGCAGATTTTACTTGTCAGTGGGTGCACATGGCTCCTGAATAGCATAAAAGAGAAATTTTATTTTAACACATTGAAAAGAAAAAGTTTAAAACAGATAATAATAAAAATATTTGTTGCATACAGTTTTTATGTTGCTGTGGGTTAAAGGTGTGCTTTAATCCGGCACAACCGCAAGTATATTTTAAACCTGTGGGAAGCACTGGGCAAGTTAGGCTAATTGGGAAAGTCATTGTATAACAGTGGTTTGTTCAGAAGAAAATTAAAAATAAAAATTGCTTAAGAGGGCTAATAATATTGACCTTAAATGGTTTTTTAAAAAAAATACTGCTTTTATTCTAATTCTCGAAATATTTTGTTTTCTTCAGAATAAAAAACATTATAGGAAATACTGTGAAAAATGCTATGCTCTGTTAAACATCATTTGGGAAATATTTTAAAAAGAATCACAGGAGGGCTAATAATTATGACTTCAACTGTCTGCACTACATTTCTGAGCATCAAATGAGGATAAACAAAGCACTACTGACCTCTCCTCGTCAATAATCAGAGATCCATCCTCAGCCACCTTCACTCTGGGCACCAGCAGAGGCTCTTTATCCTCCTCCTGAGCTTCTTCTGTTCTCTCTTCATCTTCCTCGGGATCAGCATCTTCTACCACCGGCTCCTCAACGGCTGGAGGATCTGGAGTATTGGAAGAACTGAAGACAAACAAGATGTTTAACACATTACTTGTTTTTGCTTTTCGTGACAGATGAAAACCTGCGCATTAAATAGAACTTCTCTTGATGATACATTAAGGTCTTATGCAGTAAATCAGTCTCTGAATGAAAACTGAAGATCATTTATAATTAGAATGGGCGGATCGATCATGAAGTATCTGTATTTTCGATACCGGTAATGTATCAAAAGGATCGATCCTTAAGTAAAAGTATCTTTTTTCTTATTGAGTGATGAGGGATTTTAGAATATCTCAACAATTATAGCGCCACATATTATATAAATATTTACTCAAATAGGAACACAAATGGATACTATAATATCCTACTGATGTGTTTCCGCTAATAAGTCAGCGCTAGCTCATGGCACAGTAGTACAGAAACCACACACACCTACTTAATACTATTTTGTTATTGCTGGTTACAAAAGAAATATTTTAATACCTCTCATTTTCATTTGGGGTAAAAACTATACAGTATATTTTTAAATCATTTAACACAGTAAACTACTGGAAAGAGGGAAGACTGACTCCCTAAAGGGATTTTTTCATTTCTTTCTTTTCTTTTATTACTCTTATTTACTCATTCATTGGTAACCTGGCTTCAGTTTTTTTTATTTTGATGTGCTTGTTTTTAATTATTAAATGCAGATTTATTTTATTTTATTTTATTTTGAGGGGACAGTGGGAAAATAAGAAAAAAAGACAGTGTGCAATTTTCTTATTCTGTGTAACTTAGTACTGAGTATGGTATTGTAAAACAAAACAAAAAACCATTACAATTATTAAAAACAATAGACATTTATATCAGTAAACTGCACACGAGATAATTCAAACTTAATTAATCCACAATAACAACCTCAATGGTATTAAAAATAATCTTATATAAATATTCAGAGTCATCTAATACTGAGTGCTTCGCTTTATAAGACTAATAATAATAATATAATAAATATATATAAATATATATAAATATATATTATTATATATAAATAAATAATACTAATACTACTAATACTTCCCTTCTTAGACTTTACAGACCTGAAACTTGCTTATAGCACTTATTCATTGTTGCTCTTGGTTGTGTAAATTGCTTCCTTGTCCTCATTTGTAAGTCGCTTTGGATAAAAGCGTCTGCTAAAAGACTAAATGTAAATGTAAATGTAAGACCTCAATGTATCATCAGGAGCCACAGGTATTAATTTCCTATCACCTGCATATGATTTGTTAGTTTTTTTACTCTAAAAAGTAGTCAATCGCTTAAATTGTTATGAATCACCAAGTTAAAAATGTTCTGCTAAAAAATATGTTTGAAAGAAAAGAAAGAAAGTCACCTATATTCTTGCTCAGCCTGGGAGTAAATAAAACAATCAAATGTTATCCCTTTAACTAAACCCAAAACCAATAATCTAAAAGAATTTTGTTCATAAAAAAATTAAGCTGATACAAAAAAAAAGGCATTTAAAAAACGATAATACATAAATAAATAAAAAGTGTGTGTTAAAACTATTCTGAAAAAAACTAGTTATCAGAGAACTATTTTTCATTCTCATTCGGTATTTAAAACTTTAAACAAATATTACTAAAACCAAGAAAAAAAAAAGAAAAATCGCATTTATTAAAAACTATAGACATTTAAATAAATAAATGGCACACAAGAAGACTAAAAATGTCAAATGAGGACAGAAAAGATCAAAATAAAAAACAAATTCAAACTATTAACCAACAACGGATGACATTAAAATAACTTTGTATAAATATTCAAGCTTACATTGGTGTAGGAGAGTCATCTAATACTGTCTCTGATGCTTTCTGCTCCTCTTCTGTAAAAGACCTGTACAAAAACAAGACAGTATCTAATATAATCCATAGGAAACTACCAAAAGTCAATAAAGTCAGGCATCACAAATCCAATATCACAAGCACTTGTAAAACAAACAGAGGAGTCAAGAAAGGCCCATACTTCATTGGGTTGGAGACGGGCAGGTAATAGATCAGGTCTCTCATGGTCATTTTGGTGTGATCTTTAGGTGCTTTGCGTTCTTTAAGTCCCATCTTGAGCTTCCTCTTGTCTTCCTAGATACCAGTAGAAGAGGATAGCTTAAGTTTAGCGCATTAAAATCATTCAGAAAGAAGCGCAGCACAAAACTTTATGTAAGTAGGCAACAAAGTATGATTGGATTTTTATTGGAGTTTCAATTCATATATATTAAAATAAAAACTACAATTTTAAAGTTTGGGGTTTATTTTCTTAAATTAAATCACAGATAAATGAATAGATCTTCTTCTTTTGATCGTTATATTCATTAATAAATCCTAATTTAAATGCTCAAGCACTCCACAAAATATTAAACATTACTAAAAATGTTTTAAACAGTAATAATAAATGTTATGCACTAAATCCACATATTAGGGTTTCTAAAAAAGAATGCAACAATGAAGACTGGAGTAAGCTGAAAATACACAAGTGCCTGCAAGGAATGGGACAATAACCGTTTTCAAGGTATATAAAGGTTTGGAAAAGTCAAGATTTCAAAGCCACCAAAATTTTCTGTAATACCGTTCCTAAGGTATGTGTAAGATTTTTTATTAAATTTGTTTTTTTTTTTTTTTTTGGTTTTTTAGGACAGCAGTATCTCTCCAGCAGAAAAATATCAAAAGATGCTGTTTTAAATTGGAAAGAAATCTGTGTTTTTGAAACTAATAAAGACAGCAGGTCAATGATACATATGAATTATTTAACCTGACGTGTTTACTGCTCCAAAATATTATAAATCTTACAAAAAAATAAAATATATTGTTTATAAAGGGGAAAAGTTTTTCATTTTTACTCAGACATTTAAAAATAATATATTTTAGAGCAGTAATCACAATATCGCAAAACCTTAATATTTTTATCTAAGGTTATCCCACCTTCAGAATCTTATACCTGTCCATGCCTAGTGGCATCACATAAATGAATAAACAATTAAATATATTAAACTTAAAAACAACTTTTAAATAGTGATAATATTTCACAGTTGTTGTTTTTTTCTCAAACAAATGCAGCCTCAAAAATGTTATAGATGTTATATATTATTCCATAGTATTATTAACTCTTTGGCAAATTTTAGTTTGCATTATGGATTTTAAAACTAGATGGCAGTGTTTGGACAAAGTTCAGTAAAGTTTCAGTAAAACTCGATTTGTATTTGTTTGTAAACAACTGGTAACAGTTAGATATTCATTTTTAGGCATCCCAATACCAATGTTTTAAAGAGAGCTTATCATGCTCATTTTTCCCAATCTCATATTAATCTTGCGCAACTACAGTTTATTACTGCATGTATATTTTCTCAAATAATTCTTCAGTTTTTGGAATACTTATAAGAGAAAGCTTTGTGATTTTCTTTGGGAAAAGCCAAACACTGAGTCAAATGCTTGAGATCTGTGATATACAATGAAAAATACAGTTCTTTGAAGTCATTCTCCAGCAAGTCCCATGCAGTTCTGTATTGACCTCCTTATCTAGCATGTACTGCGTTGGTGGACAAGTTCTTGTGCTTGCTATTGCGTGCTCTACCATTAGAGGTGGCCATATAAGGAGTTCCAGATTTAATGATGTCAACCAGAATCATGTATGAAAAAAAAAACCTTTCGGAAACTAGCACTGAACAAGAAGTATAATTTTTTTAACAAAGAAATAAATCAAATTGTTTAGATGTAAAAATGATTTTAACACTTACAGTAGTCTACGATTTGCTTGAGAATCCATATTTTATCACTGTAAATGACTTCAGTAGGGTTAAATGAATAGTCAGGGTTCAACGCTAATGATTTTTTATGCGGGTCCGATCGGGCCAATGCTTGAGATTTTTACTTGCCCTGTCAAAATTTTCACTAGCCCCACCAAAAAAACTAAAAAGTTAATAGCTATTTCTTAGCCACATATTCTAAATTAGTGGCAAAATTATGCCTGTGAATCTAGAATTTAAACATTTTAAATATGTTAATAAATGTATAATGAGCAAAATTCAAGATTTTATGCAAATGAAAGAGCAGTATGAAAAATGTGCTGGTTTTAATGCAATTCTAAATAACTTTTTATAAAAATGGCTTGCCAAACTGACAACTGTTTTTTTTTTGTTCTTTTTTTCAGTTTCTTAATTTTGTACCCATGTAATGGTCTGCCTCTAAGCCTTTAGAAACAGACGTTTTCTTTTAGCCTCATTGTTTAATTTTGCCACCATGTTGCCATCTTTTCACTGTACTGGTTGTTACCAGGTTACAAAAAAAACCATTCTCATCGTTACTGGCCGATAGGGGCCAGTAACAATCCTGTCTACTGTCCCGAGTGTCTTTCACGCTGGCCCCGGGCCACCGGGCAGTCCTTATTGTTGAGCCCTGATAGTACACCCAAAAATGAACTTTACCTCAACATTTACTCACACCCAAGTGGTTCTAAACCTGTATGATTTTATTTTAAAACACAAAACAAGATATTCAGAAGAATCTTCAAGCAACCATAGTAGACACCAAAAATGTTAGTCCATGGCTATTTTTCCCCGCAACATTCGTTAAAATATCTTCTTTTTTCAAGTGGTGCTCGCTGCAGAGCCATTTGGGCGAGCTGAGCTCCAGCGAGGGGGAGCTTGAGCTTGAGCTCCACCTTTTTTGCACTTCTTCTACGAGTGATGTCACTGGGGTAGGGTTAGGGGTGGGGTTGGTGTACGCATTAAAACAGCTTACAGGAGGCAGAGCGAGAGCTCATGCTCCCCCTCGCTGGAGCTCAGCTCTGCTCAAATGGCTCTGCAGCGAGCACCCTCTCTCTTTTTTTGGGTTCAACAGAAGAAGAAAAAAAACTTAAAACTGATTTGAAACAGTAAGTGTAGGGTGAGTAAATAATGACTTCATCTTCGGGTGTACCATCCGAAAAACGAAAAAGCAAGATTTTTTTAAAGATAAAAATCAGGCTAAAGCAAAACTCATACACACCTTGTCTTTGACCATTTCTTTTTTCAGAAGCTCCCGAAGTTTCCGAGCCTGCGCTAATCGAATCATGTCTGCAGGGTCGTTCACAGCAGTCAAGGATTTGATGATCTTTGATGTTGATTTCAGTTTTTTAAGTTTCTCTTTCAACAGATCAGTTTGGCTTTGGTCAGGTGGTGCTCCAGAATCACTCTCCTGTTGAACAACCATCTCTTCCACAGTAGGAGGAGTCGGACGGTTTTCATTTACATCCGAAACAGTATCAGGTGGAGAAATCGTCCCAACGCCCCCTTCCTGGACGGTCAACGGCACAACAACTTCTAGTAATCCCCCATTTTTTTGGCTCTCTCCATCCTTCTGCAGTGATTCTGGAGGAATGAGTTGACTTTTGGCTGGTCTGCTTCCTCCTGAAGGTCTCCGTCTTGCAGGAACCCTGGGATTGTGGACAGGCGCAGGTATGTCTGCATTGGTGGTTGATTTTTCAGGCTCAATAGGTGTCACTGGTTTTACAGGAGATTTTATTGGGGATTTCGGAGTCTTAGCGGAGACTTGGGAGGCTCGTGGTTTGGCCAGGTTGGGTAAAGCTGTGAAGCGTTTCCTCCTCTGTGGGCCTGATGTCACAGAGGTGCTTACTGAATCCAGGGCATTTGAACTTTTAGATGATGCATCCCTATTGTGAAGCAAAGAATTAGTCATTGGATGGGCAAAATGTATTTTGTAAAGAATAATTTAAACTATAATTAAACCAAAGAAACAGTTTTTGTCTCATTTTTATTACAAATGTCCAAAAATTCTTCAAGAAAGAAGGATTATCTAGACACGTAAAAAAATTGGTTTTCAGAAATGAAAAGTCAAAATTAAGTGAGTTTTTTCTTAATATAGGCAAAATAATCTGCCAGTGGTAAAAATAAAAATAATCTTATTCCACAGGTATATTTTTTAGCTTGTTAGAAAAATAAGAAAAGCAAAATCAAACACATATGCAGCTACAAATCCCCTGGTGTGGGTAGGCAACCAGCTTTCTAGCTGCAGGACCAGATGGCTGTTACCTACACTACCGGTCAAAAGTTTGGGGTCAGTAGGATTTTTAAATGTTTTAAAATAAGCTTATCCTGCTCACCAAGGCTGCATTTATTAAACCAGAAATACAGTGCAAATTGTAAAATTGTGAAATTTTATTGCACTATAAAATAACTGTTTAAAAGTTGTTTACAATTTAATGTTATCCTTTATTCCAATGATTTTAATGATGAATTTTCATCTTCATTACTCCAGTCTTCGGAGTCAAATGATCCTTCATAAATAACTCTAATATTAATGATGATTATTACTATTATTTATGGTAACAGTAATAAAACAAATAAAAAAACTGACCCCAAACTTTTGACCGGTATTGTACCTCCCCTGTTGCAATGTTATGTCATGTTTATGTGTTTGTTGCTGGGGCTTTTTCCCCCCTGATCTCACACTGCCTTACTTTCAGGAGAGTTTGGCACTGTCTGGGGCCTCCTTTTGTCCCAATGTATCTTATTTCCTATTTTTACTATGCTACCTCTCGACTGAGCTGTCTTCCCCTAAAATCTATAATTAAGTATGGTTAGAGGGGTCCAGTTTCGCTGCATGTAACAGTGTTGTGACAAATTTCCTTTTTACATAAATTAATAAATACATTTCACAAATGTATTAATTACAACATCATATTTATTAGTGTAAAGGTGTGAGACTCACTCTCCACGTCTAGTGTCCTCCAACTGGTCACTAGGGCTGCTGCTCTGAGATGCGTCCTCGTTGGTTTGTTCCGGCGCTGCTATAGACGGGTCAGTATTCAGTTTTTCAGCTGTGACCTCTGAACCCTCAGATGGAGCAGAGTCAGCGGGACTCTGGAAAGCCTGAGCATTCTCCGCAGATGCTTCTCGAGAAGCTGTCGGAGCTCGGCCTGTGGGCTTTACATTTGGCCGAACACTGATTCTGGACCTGCGCATCATCTTTCCCTGCTTAGAGAAATCTATAAATTACAAATACAAATTTTTATACGTAGAAAACATATGCAATGCAAGTAAAATATCTACTTTGATGATTTAAATAATATTTGTGAAAATGAAATGACAAAAATAAGTTAAATAATGCTCAAAATTCATTCAGTCATTCAATCAAGACCAGATTTTATTAATACATAGTTTAAAATAAACATAAATAAATAGTTTTATAAAAATAAAAAATAGAATAAATGAATATAATAAATAGAGATTACAAATAATATATTTTCTAGGATGATAAGGTAAAGTTGGTTTTATATTAAGGTAAGGTTGGTTTTATATTTGCACATTCAGACTTTCTCCCAATGACTATCAAAATACAGCATTGTTCACAGTCAATTAAATAGTGCTAATGTTGTTTTGAAGTCATACTTCAGCAATTCTATGCACATGTAAACCTTGCCATGAAAAAAATAAAACATTTTCACCCAAATACAAAAACCATTTCTGTTTTTGTGTGTGTGTGTGTGTGTGTGTGTGTGTGTGTGTGTGTGTGTGTGTGTGTGTGTGTGTGTGTGTGTGTGTGTGTGTGTGTGTAAGCAAGTATTTTACAGTACTTTAAAAATACTCAAAAATGCATCTGTCAATGTTTTCAAACTATTCTATTTGATTTACCAAAGTCACTTTCACATCTGTCGCATCCATAACAGAGAGATGTCACATCCATAATGACACTTTTTCCCCATAAATGTGAAAATATTAAATTAAATAAAACCAATTATTTTTGTTTTATAAGGAGCCAACTCTTATCTTTTTGATTAGCATTATTAATTTTGGGTTGTGCAGATTAATTCACAGAATTTCTACAAAGTATGTTGCATACTTAAACTCACAGACTTTCTTTGTCACATCCATAACTCATGTTTTTTTTCATCATATAAAGTACAAAACATGTTTACAGATTGATATTTTTTCTGATCCCATCGCTAACCCTGTGGTCAGTTGTTCTGGAAAATTTAAACAGATGCTTCAATATAATGTCAACATATACTTTCTATGCGAATTTATGTTTTAAGTTTTTACTGCAAATGCCACATCCATAACGCTGGAATTGCTCACTTACATGATATTTTAGACTATATTTTAGAATATTCAAAGTAGCTTGGTAAGCAATATAGGTCAGTCACAAGTTGTCACAGTTCAAAAATAAACGAATGTCCGAATATAAAACCAATTTTACCTCGACCACATTTTTAATATTATACACAGTAATACGACATTATTTTACAGTGCATAATGAATCAGTGTAAGTTCACATTGTCAAACATATTTGACAGATGTGGTTAGTCAAAAAGTCTTTTTCCCTGTTCGATTAAATGTAATAGCTCATACATTTACGTATACAACATAAACAAACTTAAAAAGTGACCAATTCATACATGTTTACAGCATGTCTGTAACGATTTCATTAAGTTAACTCATTGTAACGTTAATGTTTTCTCTTCGTGTTGCCATTGAGTGTCCTGTCCAGCAATACCCATTAACCTCACACGCTGATCGTATTTTTACCCACACATTGCGTTTTATAACCTCACTATGAGTTTAAATACTCATGAAACAATCACGAACTTACTTTGAGTTGAAGTTTATGATGATTTTATGGTCAACTACTCAGCGGTCCACGTCCTCCATGCTTGATGTTGTTACTGCGCATGCGCACTGCCATCCCGGAACTAAAATTTTGTCCAAGAACTTTAAGTTCCACCCGGATGATTTTAACAAGAGAACATGTTTGTCTACACGCTGTTTACTAAAGCATTCAGTCATAAAAATACTCAATTATAAAGATGTTTTTACCTCATGCATAAGCGTCAAACGAAAATGGATTCTGTGATTACAAGCGAGGCGGTCTCATCAGACACAGAAGCGAGAAATACTGGAGAAAGCAGAGATGAAGCTGTTGTGTTGGGAAATACAGCAACATTAGCTCTTTCTGACACTAATCTAGTGTGTGTTGAATATCCAGCGGTGGTCAACAATGTGAACAGAATGCTGGACAGCATTGGAGGAGAACAAGGAGTGTCTAAAGTGAGTCTACATCCAGTGAAACGAAGGCAGAGACAGTGCTTGGGCTGTCAAATGTGTCTGATTAAGTTACTGTACAGTAATTAGTTGTTATTAGAATTAGAATAAGCCGTTTAAACGATATATAATTTCTTATTTGTTTTCATTACACAATATAAACATTATTATAGGTGAGTTTTTTTCCATAATAAAGAAAATGAATATCTAAATAAATATTAATAATATATTAATATGTTGATATATTTACAGTTCAAGTTCATTTATTTATAAAGCACATTTAAAAGAAGTCACAAGACTGACCAAAGTGCTGTACATAAGACAAGGTAAAAAAAATAAAAAGAATATAAAAACATAGAAATTAAGCAAGAGAGAAATCTGTAAAAATGTAAAAAAAATAAATAAAATTAGCGGTAGAATGAACTATTAAAATAATCTTAAAAAGCCAAGCTAAAAGGTAGGTTTTAAGAAGTGATTTTAAAATGGATAATGATGGAGCCATTCTAATCCTAAGGGGGAAGGTGTTCCACAAGCGAGGACCTGCCACAGAGAAAGCTCTGTCCCCTCTATGTTTCAGCCTAGACTGTGGAACTGAAAGAAGATTCTAGTATCCACGATATCTTCATCAAACTTGATCTTTACTTAATATTCTAATAATTTGTGGCAAAAATGAAAAAAATTGTAATTTAAAACCATACAATGATATTTTTGGCTACTGTCAAAATAAAATACTAAGTGCTCCAGGGTCTCATTTAATTTATGAACTTAAATTTACAGAATAAATTGTATTATTATTAATAAAGTAAATAGCATTCTGCAATAATGTTGCCTTTAAAAATACATGTAAAACAAATTAAAATAACCTGTTTTTTAATGTCATTTTTATCCTATAATGGCAAAGTTTTCAGTCTTCAGTGCCATATGATCATACCTTCGTGTATCATGTGTATTTGATAATCTGATTTGTTACTTAAGAAACATTTAATAATAATAATAATTCCTTACATTTATATGGCACTTTTATGCACACTCAAAGCGTTACATGTTTTTGGGGGAATCTCCTCATCCACCATCAGTGTGCATAGAGGTAAAGTTGGTTTTCTGTTCAGATATTTAGACATTCTCCTTAATAATATAAATTCAGAAAAGTATTCTTTGCTTATTCTAAATAGGGAAATCATATTAGCAGCCAATGACTATCAAAGTACAATATTGTTCACAGTGAATTAGATGGTGTTAATATTGTTTAGAACTCATGCATGCTAATTCCGATCAAATATAACAGGAAGTAACATGGTAAACAATATAGAGACTTCTAAATAAATGAATGTGCGAATATAAAACCAACTTTACCTCTATCCAGTATAATGCAGACCACACACCAGCTGATCGGTGGAGAGGAGACTGAGTGATAAAGCCAATTATGACGTGGGGATGGTTAGGAGGCTATGATGGACGGAGGCCAGTGGGTTAATTTGGCCAGGATGCCGGTGTTAAACCCCTATTCTTTTTCAAAGGACATCATTGGGTTTTTTAATGACCACAGAGAGTCTCATCTGAAAGACAGTTAAAAACTGTTAGTCTGTTTATACCTTTTTTTTTTTTTTGATTGATATAAAAGAACAGTATTTGATTGAAAATTAAATATTAAGTTTTATATACATATCATATATTTTTATTAAACGTCTTTGATCTCACTTTAGAGGTATTAAGTACATCTAATGTTTTACAAAAACAAACTGACACAAATCTTAAGAACAGTACTGTAAATGCTTCTGTGCTGAAAGTGTGTTGTGACACTTTGCGCCAATAAAAAAAAAGACCTTCAAGGCGAAAATGGCATCTCAGACTCAAACCTTTATAGTCAGCCTCCTTCAGTGTCACAAAAATTACAATACAAAACTAAATAAAACTAAACAATATGTAAAAGTTTAGCATTTTGTGGGGAAGAGCAGCGCACACACTCCTTTCTCCCTCTCCTCACACACGCAGACTGACTCCCGCAGCGCACATGCATAATGAGGTGTATACACATTCTAGTGAATGATAAAGTGTGTGTACCCTGAGTGTTACAATGGATTGTATCTTAACCTGGGGTGTTTCTGGACAGACATATGCAGACTCTACAAAAAGAATTGAGCTCCGCTTTCGGCCGGGGGATCCGTTCTGTCATCCTGCTTATGGAAATCGCTACTCCTCCACCAACCTGCTGCTCAGAGTTCGCCGCAGGACACGCAAAGGGAACAATGCAGAGACCCAAATCAGCATGGAGATAGTGGGACTTATAGGAACCACCTATAAGTTTCAAGGTTTGAAGTGCACATTCATTTACTAGTATGTTTATTTTAAATAACTCGTTTTAATGTTCATTTTAATTTTAAAAAGATACACTTTGAAATACATTTTAGACATTTCTACCAAAACCAAAGCGTTTATTGGGTGTTTATTTTAAACAACATGCAAGATGAAATGTTTCAAAGAGGAGATGTTTAATTTAATCTACAAACGTCATTTTAACCATAGAAAGCATGTTAAACTTTACTGTTTCAAATAACTTGTGAAAGCAAAATGTCAAAATATGGGTGAAATAATGTTCCATAGTCATTCAGCATAATGAAATTACATACTTATTACGATCTATAAAATGAATAAATTATCATAATAAGTGCATTTATTTATTAAAAACATCTTTAGTAGTTTGAAGGATTGTGGCAAAGATTTGTGAGATCCTTATACAGTTTTCGTTTTAATATGTGATCAAATGAATCTTGTTCTAAATACGTCTGGAAAGATGTTTTGGTATATAAAATATCATTACACTGAGGGGCATTTAAGCTTAACTTTATTTTTTTCTTTATATCATGGTGAAAATGTAAGATAATCAAAACAGTTTGTGTAAATTAAAAACAATAAACAGGATGCAGAGTAATGTGTGAGCAAACTAAAGCTGCATCACACATTTATGGTTTGGATGAACTTTTTTTTTTTCTTTAACCTGGATAGTTTGTACTGTTGCTTTTCAGTTCTGATTTCATGCAGTCTTAAAGGGAAAGTTCTCCAATACATTTTTTTTTACGAATATTAAGGTGATAGTTTACCCAAAAATTTAAATGTACTCGCTATTTACCCTTAAGTGGTTCCAAACCTTTATGAAGTGTTTTGAAGAAAGCTAAAACCTGTAACCATTGACTTTCATAGTAGAATAAAAACAAATACCATGGATGTCCATGAATACAAGTATCCCAACCTTTTTCAAATATCTTCATTTGTATTCAACAGAAGAAAGATTCTTATAAATGTTTGAAATGAGTGAAGCGAGATTAAAGGATAGCAGAATTTTCATTTTTGAGTGAACCGTCCCCTTTAAATATAATCAGCCCAATGAAAAAAGTTATTTTGAAGATCACTGTGTTCATAACAATATTGAACCCCATTGACTTTCATTGTTTGAACAACTCCACTAAACGCTGGGGTATTTTTTTTTAAATACCTGCTTTTGTGTCAAAGCAGGTTCATCAGTAATCTAATTATTTCCCTTAACCTGAATAAGAAAATAATATATTCAAGGTGTTTACATGAGTTGCTTTTTAAATGTTCCTTTTATGATCTCGTTTTTTGCACATATATTGATAAACACCGCGCTATCCAATGCTTCCTCTGGAGTTTCATGTAATTTCGGTTGTTTAATTTGTATTTTTAAACATTTCTTTCATGTCTTTTTGACATGGAAAGAATAATGCCGGTGCCGAATGGAAAGAAAAAACCTCCTCATTTCACGACGAGGGTGTCTTTGGTCCCTCTATGACTCGATAGGTGCAGAGAATAGTGTGTGTATGCACTACACTGTCACGAAATGCGGCGCAAATCCTACAAGACGGTAAAAATTTGAATTAAAGCTGCAAGCAGTGATGAAAGGGACCTCGCATCCGGGCTCACTGCCTCTCGGTGGCTTAAGGATGAAAAAGTACAGCGGACAACATTAATTTAAGCCGTTATATATATATAAAAAAAAAACCTGAGAAAATCACAGATTTATTTCAAACTTCCTTCTGTCAGCAGGTGGTGTCATAACTGTGTCTCAATATTGCCATTTAGATGTCTTTCAGAAATGGAATCTCATCTAACCTGTGAAGTTTCAGGCAGACCGGACATTGTGTGGCTGAGTTATAAGCTAAACTATGAGCTATAACTGTAACTGGATATTGTTATGTAAACGTGTTCTGGTCAGGACTGTTATCAAACTTGTGAATTTTAAGGCAGATCAGACAATGTATGTCTGAGTTATAACAACTTCCTGTTTCGTGGCGTATTGTCAAAGTTTGCGAGGCTGCCACACGCCCTTTAGCAAAAACTCTAGATCTTCGCAATTTAACATCGCCAAGGCCTTTAGATGACAAGAGTCAATTTTGGTGTTGATCAGATAAAATCCCTAGAAGTTCGTTAAAATAAAACGGCGTTGTTTGGTTGGAGGAAGTTAAAAATATCAGACTTCCTGTTGGGTTTGAGATTTCACTCAAAGAGATATTTTTGTAGGTATTGGCATGTTTGATGTGTGTGCCAATTTTCGTGCATGTGCGTGAATCGTAGCTCGGGGGTCAGTCTGTCAAAAAGCAATAGGTGGCCCTGTTGAGTAATTTTGCCA